GGCACGAACGTTTTTCTGCACATTAGAAGCCTAACACCTCTGCGGTAAGTACTGTAATTAAGTTTGAACACTTGTTATCATACACTCATATTCGTCCAGTCCACCGTGAATGTGCACTGATCACACGTAGTAAGCTCTGTAGAATAACAACAACAACAACACTGTTTTAAGTACTGTATTTTACAAAACTGGCTCGGACTCGAAGATGGATTCCCAAACATCTGCCGGTAACTAGTTCCAGGTCTTCGGGCTGGAGACCCCAAAACCGCGTTGGCCTCGCCGCGGCAGCGTTTTCGCCCGGGTACAGCAGCAGATCGCCATGGGCGATGATCGTAGATGACGTCGATTGGGGTATGTTGAGGCTGGGACTGCACGCTGCTCAGCGGTGTGCCGTGGATTACAGGATCTACAATTATGGTCCCGTCGATATCGATGCTCATAATTGTGTTTCTGCTGTCATTGTGCTCTTTGGGAGCGACCTGAAGTCGGCACTAATTTAATATGGACGTTTAAGTAATCCTTAACATTGTTCCCAATGAAACGTGCCCTTTGTATGAATGTCATGAATGGCAAAATCTGTGAACTGTAATTATCTGCACAGAATCGTGTGTTTCATATTCCAGCACATGCTGGTGGTCGACTTATTGTCTCAGCTAGCAAGGGAGTCTTGTGTTATAAACTGCCCCTGGGCAATACAGTGAGGGGAAAAAAGTATTTGATCCCCTGCTGATTTTGTACGTTTGCCCACTGACAAAGAAATAATCAGTCTATAATTTTAATGGTAGGTTTATTTGAACAGTGAGACAGAATAACAACAAAAAAATCCAGAAAAACGAATGTCAAAAATGTTATAAATTGATTTGCATTTTAATGAGGGAAATAAGTATTTGACCCCCTCTCAATCAGAAAGATTCATGGCTCCCAGTTGTCTTTTATACAGGTAACAATCTGAGATTAGGAGCACACTCTTAACGGGAGTGCTCCTAATCTCAGCTTGTTACCTGTATAAAAGACACCTGTCCACAGAAGCAATCAATCAATCAGATTCCAAACTCTCCACCATGGCCAAGACCAAAGAGCTCTCCAAGGATGTCAGGGACAAGATTGTAGACCTACACAAGGCTGGAATGGGCTACAATACCATTGCCAAGCAGCTTGGTGAGAAGGTGACAACAGTTGGTGCGATTATTCGCATATGGAAGAAACACAAAAGAACTGTCAATCTCCCTCGGCCTGGGGCTCCATGCAAGATCTCACCTCGTGGAGTTGCAATGATCATGAGAATGGTGAGGAATCAGCTCAAAACTACACGGGAGTATCTTGTCAATGATCTCAAGGCAGCTGGGACCATAGTCACCAGAAAACCATTGGTAACACACTACGCCGTGAAGGACTGACATCTTGCGGCGCCCGCAAGGTCCCCCTGCTCAAGAAAGCACATATACATGCTTGTCTGAAGTTTGCCAATGAACATCTGAATGATTCAGAGGACAACTGGGTGAAAGTGTTGTGGTCAGATGAGACCAAAATGGAGCTCTTTGGCATCAACTCAACTCGCCGTGTTTGGAGGAGGAGGAATGCTGCCTATGACCCCAAGAACACCATCCCCACCGTCAAAAATGGAGGTGGAAGCATTATGCTTTGGGGGTGTTTTTCTACTAAGGGGACAGGACAACTTCACCACATCAAAGGGACGATTGACAGGGCCATGTACCGTCAAATCTTGGGTGAGAACCTCCTTCCCTCAGCCAGGGCATTGAAAATGGGTCGTGGATGGGTATTCCAGCATGACAATGACCCAACACACACGGCCAAGGGAACAAAGCAGTGGCTCAAGAAGAAGCACATTAAGGTCCTGGAGTGGCCTAGCCAGTCTCCAGACCTTAATCCCATAGAAAATCTGTGGAGGGAGCTGAAGGTTCGAGTTGCCAAACGTCAGCCTCGAAACCTTAATGACTTGGAGAAGATCTGCAAAGAGGAGTGGGACAAAATCCCTCCTGAGATGTGTGCAAACCTGGTGGCCAACTACAAGAAACGTCTGACATCTGTGATTGCCAACAAGGGATTTGCCACCAAGTTCTAAGTCATGTTTTGCAGAGGGGTCAAATACTTATTTCCCTCATTAAAATGCAAATGAATTTATAACATTTTTTTAAATGCGTTTTTCTGGATTGTTTTGTTATTGTCTTTCACTTCAAATAAACGTACCATTAAAATTATAGACTGATAATTTCTTTGTCAGTGGGCAAACGTACAAATCAGCAGGGGATCAAATACTTTTTTCCCTCACTGTACATGGCAAATTAACAGTGATAATGATCTTTTCCCCTTGTGAGTTTTAGATGCAGTGCACTGTTACAGTCGTCGTTCATTGCTTAATATACTGCAGTACTGTGGAAAGTTGTAGGGAGCCATTGCCAACATCTAGAGGAATTTCGATTTAGTGAATATACAGCAGTGTGGTATACAGTAGGGTTGGTAAAATAATACATAGTGTAATATTACAAGTCTAATATTATTATCATCTAAGGTATAGGGTAGTGTATAGTAACGCAGTGTATAATTCAATGTTGGGGTCTGTCTATAGCAGTTTATAATAAAATGATTAGTTGGAGGCATATTATAATATTTTTTGTGACATAGAAGTGTAATGTATAATGACTTATTGTTAGTAGCTCAGCTTAGTGGAGAATATATTGAGTACATTGATCATTGATGTAGTTTATATTTAGTTCTTTCACATCGGTTTATTGTATGATAGTTGGGTGGTTGCAGTTCTTTAGCGTCAATATACTAAATGCCTCTGTTGATATGTAAACTCTGACTTTAACATAGCTACTTTCGTGACCAGTTACATGCTAATTCCTCACACTAACATCATGCTAATCTCCCAGTTACATGCTAATTTTTTACTTTAACATCCTGCTATTCTATCACATTAACACAGCTACTTCAATGCTAAATTATTCTGTTGATATGTAAACTCCTTTGTCAAGGCGCTCTGCTCCTCCCACCCAGCTTAAAATACGCTGCCAAGCTTAGCAGTGTTCATTGGAGCGCCGTCTTTCCGACAGTTATGTTTCTTCACCTGAGGAAGGCTACTTGTGTTGTGGCCGAAACGTCGTGAGAATTTTATTTTATTATGTTTTATTTTTATTATTTTATTATTTCCCTTCTACGTGACTTTACCGAAAGAAGCAAGAAGATCTAGAGGAATTGTTTGCTTCTGTAATTGCTGCCTGCTGTACCTGCTGGGAGCATTAAGCTGCGATGTTAGTGTCATTATAATATAAATATTGCTTTAATTAGGGGTAATTTGCTTTACACTTGAAGGGGACACCGGTCCGCCATGGGTCTACGGGGATATCACAAATGGCGAAGGATTTTAGTTTATTATTCCGTTCCAATTATGTACATGTACGTCATCGGAACAGGAAAGGGTTAATAACAACAAACATTTATGGTCCTTTTTCAAACCACTGCCGGATGAAGAACTCCCATGTCAGTCGTGGGTATTGTTTGACCATACTTCACCACGCTGGTCAATGCAAGTTGATGGGAGGGGAGTGGGCATGATTCGTTGAGCCATCACTCGCAACTCATTTTAGCCGTGGCCGAGAATCAAACTCGGGTGTCTATACTTCCATACCATCCCACTGTGTGTTCAGGTTGGTGAGGAACTTGCCACAGGTATAAGCCATGGCTGGAATTCAAACGCAGGTCACTGGCTGTGTTCATAGCGCAGTGCACCAAACCCCAGGAGGCATTACTCGCAGCTAAATTGTAAAATATAATAACTGGCCCAACACAGCTATGTTTATACATAATTTATTTTTAAAAGGGCAATAGAAATCTCAGGAGGCTTGTAAATGATTGGACTTGGAATACATTATATCAATACCGATTTACTCATGTCTGTTCAGGCACCCATTTCATCGTCCACCTTCTTTCCCTGTAATTTGTTGAATTCTCGAGGTCATAATTGTATGCAAGAATCCTGATTCGTTTTGTCTCATTTATACTCTCATTTGCATTTCCCTCCCACTGTTGTGTATTTCGCATTTTTACGTCTCGTTCATTACATCAGCCTGAAGCGTACAGTTTGCGCAAGTCTCGCACAACCGATTCTTACATACACACACAGTTAAATGCGTGCATGAGCTGGGGTATTAATGATGCATCAAGTCATTGATTGACATCGATTGTTAAGCGTGCTACACTTGCTTCAAATTGAATATTCAAGGATCTGATGTTTCTTTAGAGGTGGCTGGGTGAATCAGAGGTCATAACGAGGAACCACTGAGATCCCCGTTTTTTTATCCAGGTTTCAGCCACTTCTGATTAAACCACTTTCTCAAGTGTATTAGCGAGTTCACGGTGTCGGCCCGTTCACCAATAAAGACAAAATAAAGCGTGTTACATTCGCTTCTGCATTTTGGCTAATTTCCAGATCTGAGGATGGAACATTGGCTCAACTGACGTGTGATGATCATTGCTATCAGTGGCGTAGCGAATAGGAAAGTAAAGTCTGTTCTGCTATAACGTGGTAGTTGCATTCCTGAATAAAACCGCATTATGGAAGAAAAAAAACACGTAATAAATAATATATACATTAGGGTCAAGCACAGTCCTCGATAACATGTGAGATGCGTACGCAGGCTGAGCAAAGACTGAGGAGCGTGGGTAGCATCTAGTAACATCCAGCAGCATCCCGCCTTGTGCGATGCTACGCCAGATGAGGCTGCTTGTAACGGTGTACTCGAATTGTACATTTTATGGGTTTACTCTCCAACACACCGGTGTGCTGAACTAGTAACTAATTGGAATATTTTGTTTACGTGACAAACCTTACTAATTGGCTGTGTCGGGTGGTGGCGGGTTTAACGACGCGTTTATATTTACACGGTCTAACCTAAAGAAACCCTCTTCTGGAGTTTGATTTTAGTTCAGTGTTGGCCAGGTTGATACGCGCGTGTCTGCGCTTTGGGTGGTACGTGCAGGCGATGTGAGCGAGGGAGAGCTCTATTCCACGCTGGCCGAGGGGGAGGCAGACGTGGACAACGCCAGCAGCAGCAGCAGCAGCGCGGACTTCACCAGCGAGATGCACTTCTACGAGCAGGTGGAGGACACCAAGGATGGCGTGTGGCTCGTGCAGGTAACGGTTTCTCTCTCGCTCTTTCCTCTCTCCTCTTCTCTTCCGTCATCCATCACATTTCCCCCGCACCTTCGATCAGCGCGGTTGGCTACGTACGGTGCGAAATAAGTTCAACATGCATCAATACATCCCAGCAGGGCCAATAAAATAAGTGCTGCTTTGTGGGAAGTCCAAAGTGGTAGTCCTTATGGGGAGACTGCTTCCTACCCACCCCAAACAGGACATGAGTGCAGCTTTGAATAAAGAGACACGTTCACTTTTGGGTAATAATAGTTCAACACACACACACGTGGCGGCTGGCTGACGATGAGGCTGAACGAACGTTTGCCCTCCTCCCTGTCTCTGGTCGTGGCGTGTACGAACTCATTCTGCATTGCTGTGGAGCGTTATGTGTAAAATCGCACGTAAGTGGAACTCTGTTCTCCGCGCCTCCACACGCGAGTCCAAATATGGTTTAGTCAATACCCTCCTGTTCACGATGGTCCATTTTGGTCAACAAATGAATTAAGCAGTCCATGCGCCTCTTTATCTACCTAAAAGTAGATAAATATTTCGTACACATCCCATTAGCCGCTCACAGGGCCGTCCATAGGGGGGGCGCAGGGCCCGTTAATCCCAGTGTGTGCCCCCCCCCCCCATGCCTTCAAACTAAACCAGGAAGTATAACATTTGACGCCGTGACGTCGAAGCACGGGGGGGCCCCCCCAGAGCGCGGGACACTGGGCAATCGCTCCGATTCGCCGTACCCTAGGGGACTACTCTGGCCACTCGGCCCTCTCGGAGTTCATTATTTCAGGAGCATCGGTTCTCTGCACAAGCGATTTGTGGACCAGTTTCGATGTGCAGCGTCTCAGCAGCAGAGCCAGGCTTGCTCAGACAGGTTGTATGCAAGGGAGCACTTATTCCTTGCCCCCCCACCACAGCTGGTTCACTGTTATAATTCACTGCACCAATATTTATCGCTGGACGAACCAGTCTCAATTATATACGTGGGCTTTCACGACTAATATTACGATTCGTGATTAGTTTCTTTCGTATTAGATCGTGGAGGTATCATGTCACGGACCGTTTTAATAAATGACATTGCTACTTGATCTATCCCCAAAGAAACGAATCACGAATCAGGTCTCAATTGTGGTTATCCGGGGACATTTATCGTGGTCATTAAATGGTCGGCTTTGTGCCTTTGTGCCAGAACTGGGTACTTTTTGAAGATGACTGTTGGGGAATTGAAAGTGTTTTCATTTGTTTCGTCCTCTTGTGGGGCACAGATCTCGTGCAAGAAGAAACACTTCATGCTGGAGCCGAAGGAGTGGAAGGAGGTGGTCAAAAAAGTCTCCCGCTTCGGCATACGAACAGGGACCTTTCACTGCTCCCTGGATCCCAGGTGAAGATCATGCATTCCCGGCCAAACATTGCACACGGCAACGTATGTTGAACTTCTTTGGCACGCCATACGTAGCCAACCGTGCTCATCAGAGGAGCGGGGGAAAGGACAACAAACCTACAATATACCCATTTCAATCACAGCAGCTGTAGATTTTTTGAATTGGGGTAAAACATTTTTTTTACAGTTAATGCATAGCGTACAATACGATTGTTTTAATCATTGTATAAAGGCAGTCCGTGAGATATGAACGTCCGTACTTACGAACAAACCGCCGTAAGATTTTCTAAATTTTAACCATCCGAATTGTGTTGGATCGTACTTACGAACAAACCGCTGTAAGATTTTCTAAATTTTAACAATCCGAATTGCGTTGGATCGTAGTTACGAACCCAACCGCAGAGTTCTATAGTTGGGCGGAGTGATCCTCCGCGCGATGTAATGAGTCCCACCATCCCAATATTTATTCTTTATTTATGAGTTTAACAATGCTTCCCTTTTTTTGTTTGACCATAACACAGCCTATAACACTGACCGAATAAATAATTAAATGCGAGCAAATGTATCTACGAACGCGTCTCATGAATGTAACCTGTTCTTCAGTCGAGGACGACCTGAATTGTACATGGTGATCAACTTATAGATATTCCACTGATTTCTAATGACTCTCTTGCTCTGTTGGGGAGAAATAATGTTTTATAATGTGAGAAGAGGGGAGAACTACGTGGAAATGTGTTGTCTTGAGTGAGTGGTGTATTGTAATGCAACAGAATTTATCAGATTTCTCAGGATGGCTATCTCAAAAAGAGGGCGATCTTAGGAAAACTATGAAAAGTGTTCACCCAATTGGCTGATGATTTATTTATAGACACCTTGCTGATGTTTAAGACCCCTAATTTTTTTTTCCCCCAATAGTCGATTACATATAGTGAGAGTGATGGCTCTGTATCTTACAGAAGAGAGTCTTAAACGATATAATAAAGCATAATGAGATCGGTCGAAGATGTGAAGGCTTTGAATGAAAAAAACATCTCTTTAGTATCTACAGATTTTTTTTCGTGCGTTGCCTATAAAAGGATGACTGTATAACAATGACAATTACAACTAAACTTTTTTTTTACTAAAATACTATTTAAATTATTTTGTGTTTTACCAGGTTAGGCACACTGAGCTATACAGCTTTTTTTCAGAAGCGACCTGGCCACAAATGGTAACTCAACGAAGTGGCTTATCAGGTGGAATTTTTGAGCAGCTAAATGCCCTAAATGCATGTTCCTAAATGTGGAGGGAGAAAACCGGAGGACCGGAGAAAAATCCACGCGACCACTGGGAGAACATGCAAACTCCATAGATGCAGGTGTCAAGATCGGGATCGAACCCAACGTTGTCTCCGTCATTCAAATTCACGGGGTGGTGTTCTTCTCCGTTTGTGACGCCTGAGCCTGTGGTGGAAACTTGTTATAGTTCCTCTGGCTGTGGCCAAATTTTCTATAATCACGAGTACCTATTGACTTCCCACAATGTAGGTACTCAATTTATTGACCCCCAGAAGGGTGATGGTCTGAGTCAATCTTTAAAATGGAATTGAAATCCATGACCTTCCAATTATGAGACAGGTACTGTATCACTTCATCAGTACTTAGTAGAAGCTGCAAATATATTTAACAGGGCCAGGTGTATTTCTGTACTAATATCCTAACTAATGTGGAGTTTCAGAAGTTTTCCTTCACCTTTCCCTGTCCAGTGTAAGATTAGCACGTGTTGCTTATACGAGAACTGTGTTTTATATCAGGTGTGCCTTTATCCACTTTCCACTCTTTTACATTACTACGATACAGTATTTCCTTTATAGTACAACATACGTTTTGATGTCTATTTTGTACAAAAACAACAATCTGAGACCTTTGGAATGCGTCTTACCTTTTATACGCTCTTTTTTTCTACGAAGCTTATTTTTTAAAAAGATTGAATGTCTCCAAGACCCGTTCCCACACTAAATAAATAGATCGATAATAATTTATACTGAGAAAACATTGCGGCACTCTGTTCAAGGTTGATTTTGCATAATGCTGCCGTGAGTTTGAGCACAAATTCGATACATTTTTAGGTGGCTTCATGTCACAATTTTAACAGGATTTTATAAGCATGCTCGCACTGCACAAATAGACGTTTACAATAGGGTAATAAATTTACCTCTCCCCTTCATCCATAAATTTAGTTTTCAGCGCTGCCAGAATAACAAAAAATGCAAAATGCGTTAAGAAAGTTTATAACAATTATAATAAAACGTATTAAATATAAACAGAACTACATGTTTTTTATCGGCTTCACATATTAAACACGTATAAGACCATCAACCTATTGTCTTTCTGGATAAATATTACCCGGAAGCAGTTGTCTTAGCAAGCATACAGTGCTCATCAGCTGACTCATTGAACAAATGCTACCGGATTACCAGATGTTACTGACTAGAGCATCCCATATGGCATTTGTATCTAATTGCTACATTTGGTTGTTAGAATTGTACCTCGGCTTGCTCGCGGTGAGTATAGACAATAACAATTGTAGCGTTAAACGGTTGTACGTCGCGTGAGAATTCAATTTGTTTCATTGGTTGTCGGGTGGTGGTGGAGGATTATTAATGACACAAATTTGTTCGGGAGCTACCCAACCCACAAATCAATTACGAATCATAACATTGGCTGCAAAAAGCCTGCTACGTGTTACGTACATAAATTCATTCTGCATTGCCGCGGAGAATTATGGGTAAAAGGTGTAAAAAAAGATAGTTTTGTTTTGCCTCCAAAATGAAGGGTAGTTATTGGTGTTACACTTTTGAGTGTCTCCGTGTGATTGGATGTCCGTGCATTTTGGAATTTATTTCATTTTGTGTGCACGGTACTTCAAAACAGTTGCAGCTGCCAAATGTTTATGTAGCAGGCGGCATATGTGTGATTACAAAATTGAGTTAGACTTCATTTTCCGAGCAGATTTCAAGTCAAGAAACTAAATTACGGTGTAACATAATAACATTTGGAACTTGTGAATTACCAATGTGTACTCAGCGAGTGCCTTTGTTGTATTTGCTCCAGAGTTTTTACTTTTATTTGGTCTTTTTTTTTAATTTACATTCATGTAATATGATTTCGTCTGCTTGTAAATAGCCTTACGCATTTCTCAAGCTTCCTCATAAACAGGGTTATCGTATTAACTGTTTTCTTCGGATTCTAAGACTTACTTTCCCTCTCCCACCCACCCTGTATTTTGAAAGAAAAAGTTGTTGGTGCCTCATATAATCCGGTAGATGTGTGTGTTTCTGTGTTACCTGATTTATATAACTTTATTGAAACGAGGCGCAAGATTGGGATGTGTCCTATTTTCCGAAGCGCCTTAGAATCCGGAGTGATTGGTACATATGGAACTTCGAGAATTCTTCTTGTTTGCGATGTTTATTGCACAACCTGAAACGGCCTGATCGGCAAGAATACCCGAACGGAAGGAAAACATTATCGTGACCAAACTGCATTGGTTTAACTCTAGGCAGCCGTGGGATGCTCTGAATATCTTGACGTCAATGTGAGCAGTATTAATCGATCAATGTGCAGTGTACCTACCGTACTGAATGTTCTGGATAATGTTGTGGGTATCTGGCAGGGTGGCATTGTGTCCAGGGGGGTGCTTGCGTCGGAAGGCTGCGAACACAAATCTTGGTTCACAATATTTGTTTCGACTGGAGGAATCCTATGAGCAATGAAGCTCTTTCTCACAGATGTCCGGTAGGGGGCGGGTCAGCGGCTTACATCAACAAACAATAGAAAAAAACGATATGAGAGCTAGATAGACGAAAGGTAAAGCACGTTGCAATAAATAAATAGTACAGAAGTACACATTGCACAAGTAAATTGCGGGTCAACTCAACGCCACCGTCCTGTCCAGGGTCTGTAAAATTATCACCACTTTGTAGAAAGTAAAGAGTGGTGCGTGACGAGCCCCCCTGCCATTAGAACGTGGAATTTCCCACCGAAAACATTGGGCTGGGTATGGAGGTGGCGGCACAAATGGCATCGCGAACTGTGACGTGAACCTGGCGAACAAAATTATATTACGCCGTCTGTGGCTAACATCAGCTACAGGTTGTATTTGAACCGGTGCTGCCCTAATGCCAACCTGCGCTGGCCGGTGTGGTAAACTATGGTCAAAACAACACAGCAACACCACATGGGGAGGTCTTTAATCCAGATGCGGGTTTGAGAAAGGGATGCAAATGATTATTTCTAGTTATTATTAGCCTGTCTTTAACCAATTCTCCCGGTATGGACCCATTGTTGTTATATCTCACGGTTGGCTACGTACGGTGCAAAATAATTATAGATTTGAAGCTTTCGTGACTGCAAGGATCCATACTCTTTGGTTCTATTCGGCAAAGTCTTTACCGAATAGAATCAACGAGTATGGTGCAAAATAAGTTCAACATACATACGTATATCTCAGAAGCTAAGCCAGGGTTGAGCCTGTTTCGTGCTTTGATGGAGAATCACGATGCAGAACACAGTCACTGCAGGCTGCTGCGGGACTGTGTTGTCAGCGGAGGGCAGTACGGCAACATCCACCACTAGGCTCCCACATCTCTGCTCCCCACTTTTACCAACCTACACTGACCAACCTTGGGGAAATATGGCCCCACGTTGGTGTAGAGAGGCCCTCAACCAGCAGTAGATTGATACAATGGCTGTAGATGCATATGTGACGTGAAATCAGTGCTGTTATAGCGGATGGAGCAATGGGCTGGATTTGGAAGCAGTTGCCCTCCAGCAACAACGGAGGGCAGAGGGGCGACGCTCGCAACAATGAGCGGAACGCCGGGTGGTTAAAACGCAGAGAAGTCTGCACTGTGGGGAGCACAGTTGGTGCATCTGTTGGTCATCTCAGTCAGTGAACCCATGGCACTTGGGTCTGTTCTGTGATCACCTGCCAGCAGGCCTTCGACACTTCACGTGGAATTAAAGTGCACCTCGTATGGCACAACCTCCGTAGTGACGTCACCGCCACTTAGTGATGAACTGCGGTTGTTGTTGCAATGAGCTATTGATCCTTTAAGCATGAAGGCACTCTGATTTTTGACTGTACGAAGTTGTGTACGCTGTTGTCTTTTCTGAATGTGTGATGCGTCCTCTTTGGCATTTGCCTTGCAAATTTGGTTAAAGGTTCTGCATGAAGCGGGGATGGCTTGGACCAAGTCTCATTATGGCCGTGCCTCTCACAAACACCTCCAAGGGAAAGGTGGTCCTCAAAGGTAATTTAACTTTCATTCTAAATGTAATGGTGTTGCTCTGAACAACATGAAGGGGCATTCTTCTATCCAATAACTTTAACACCATGTATAATCTTATGATCTATTTCAACCCATCGTCAACAATTCTGATTCTATATATATAAATATATACACGGATACCTTCAATGCGTGCCAATTCTGTTCATTGTGCTGCGGCTTGCTTTCATCGTCCAAATGCGGGGAAATTAACAAGACGTCTTGTTTTATGTGAAAATGCATTCAATTGAATTTAGTTTTTTTTCACTCTCTGTGGCTTAACTTTCATTAAGTTCTCATAAGTCTGTCAAGGGCAATTCTGGCTGTGATTTTGCTTCTTTCCCAAGCAACACATACATGTATCACTCATTGGCAATTTGGGGTCGATATTTAACGTGCTATAATTTGGCCATGACACACAGTGACTTGTTTTCTTATTGCCATTGCCAGGAGGCCTTTACAAAGTCAAAGTATGTACATTCACCTCATCATTGGATCGCATTCCTCTCTCTCATCAGATATGAGCACATGGTGGAAATTCCACATTCCCATGGCATTTGCCAGTCTGTAGGATAACCACTGTTGACTTCCCATAATGAGGCACTGCATCAAGCCCTAACTGTGATTCGAACTCATGTCTTCTACTCGTGAGTTGAGGACTCTTGTAAATGTAATGAGGAAGAGGAGGGAGCGATGCACATGATGAGGCCCGAGAGCAATGGGAATACCCACAGCCGGATGGTGGAATACCGTAATATCGGCAGATTGTGTATGGTATGGTCAAGTGTATGGTATGGTCAAGTGTATGGTATGGTCAAGTGTATGGTATGGTCAAGTGTATGGAATGGTCAAGTGTATGGAATGGTCAAGTGTAGGCATTCGCACCTCTTCCAAGACTCTGATGCCAACATCAGAGTCGGCTAAATTCCCTCTAGCGAGGCTCTCCAGTATTCTCTCCGCTGGAGGTCCTTCTGTCAGCAGCGGCATGAGCAGGCAGTTGCAGGGCTGCAACTTTACCTGACGATGCATCCTAAATCTGCGCGCTTCATTCCTCCTTTTTTGCCATTTAATTTGACATCAGAGTTCCACGGGAGGGTGAAGGGGCTGCAGCACATCCTGGAGTGGGTGCACGCGAGCGTGGCGGCTCGCATCGCCGCCGTGCGCAAGCCGGCGGAATTCTGGGACGAGTGGCGCAGGCCGGGCACGAGCGACGCCAAGGCAGGAAGGGGCGGCGGCGGTGGCAGAGGGGGCAACAAAGTGGGCGCCGGCAACAGCCGCGTCAAGGTCTTCCTGTTCGCCAACCTCGACCGGCCGCCCATGTTCCTGTCGGCCGTCAGCGTCAAGTTCACGGGGCGTGTCCGCTTCATCTTCGTCGACATGCGCAGCTGGCGCAAGGAGGACTATGAGCGGCGCGGGGAACTGAACCTGCGCAAGCTGCCCGCGTACATCATTCAGACGCCCGAGGGCACGTACGAGTACGGCACACTGCGAGGCGAGCACTTCTCGCACCGCGCCCTCGACATCTTCCTGCGCTTCTTGCAGCCGGAGGTAAACGACTTGTTCGTGCTCAGCCTGGTGCTGGTGAATGCCGCCGCATGGATGGACCTCTTCATCACACAGGGTGCCACCATCAAGCGCTTCGTCGTGCTCATCAGCACCCTGGGCACCTACAACACGCTGCTCATCCTGTCCTGGCTGCCCATCGTCGGCCTCCTGCAGCTGCCCCACCTGGACACGTTTTACGAGTACAGCCTGAAGTTTCTGCGCTTCACCAACACCACAAAGATAGCGTCGTGGGTGCGCACGGACTGGATGTTCTACTCGTCCCACCCCGCGATATTGTTGGGCACGTACCTGGCGCACGGCCTGATCGTCGACCTCATCGAGAAGAAGCGCAAGCTGTCCGACGAGGACGACGAGATCCTGATGGAGAACAATTTGGACTGGCTGTCGAGTCTCTGGGAATATTATTCTAATTATTTGTTCCGCCCCATAGGCTCCTTCCCGGGCTACCCCACCAGTTATTACGACGGCGACTTGGAGGACGGCATCGACGTTTTGCTGGAGCGACTCGCCGTGCCGGACCTTTGGCTGCGACCGTCAATTTCGACCGATTATATAAAGTATCTGCCGACGTGGGAATTTAAGTGCGCCGAGCGCATTAAAACGCCGGCCCGTGCTGCCGCTCGCACACGCGCGCCCGGACCGGGCGCGGACGAGGGGTGCCGCGGCTGCTCTGCCTCGCGCGCGGACGACGACGACGACGACGACGGCGACGGCGGCGAACATTCGCGCGAACGCGGAGCAAGCCACGTGCCCCCCCACGGCGCCTGCCCTTCGTGTAAATCCGCCGGGGCACGCGGCGGACGTGGCGGCGACGCGGCGCGTATCTCCCCTGTCTGTAGTCGAAACGCCGGAGCGTGCGAGAGGGAATTTGGCCGCTGCGTTTGCGGACGAGCAGGAGGCGGCGAGCGCGGCGGGGCTGTCTCCGGCGGTTGGACTGAGCCGACGGGTCGCGTGGGGGCGGCTCCGGCGCAGGCTGAATCGCCGTGTGGGCAGCCCGACGGGCCCCGGCGCCTTCCCCCCACAGACCCTCGCGTCGTGGTAAGCAGACATTCATTTTGTTCGTTCGTCGTGTAGCTTTTGAGCCCATCTCGTCTCAAGAGTGAGTGCGTGGCGTTTTTGAATGATGTGTCCGGATATTTTAGCTTCATGCAGTCAAGCAAAATACATTGCAGCCTATTATTACCCAAAAGTGAACGTGTCTTCTTATTCGAAGGCGCACTAATTTTCTGTTCGGGGTGGGGAGGAAGCAGTCTCAAGGTAAGGACTACCACTTTCCACTTCCCACAAAGCGGTGCTTAATTTTACGACCCTGCTGGGATATATTTACGTAAGTTGAACTTCTTTTGCACCATACGTAGCCAACCGTGATAATCGGAAGCGCATTATCTTTGAGAAGGTTGCATGTCTTGGTTATATTTTTGTTCTTATTTTTTTTAAAGAGGACGTTCTTAAATAAACGCAATTCCTTGTTGTCATAGCGACACGTCAAGAAATATCGAATATATCTGTGCTCTCTGGGTCCGGTTGTCTGGGTGAAAAGTGGGCCATGTTCCCTGGCTCAATCCTAGCCAGCTCGGCTCCTAAACAAACCCCGCCAAAGGCAGCCACTGGAGGACTCGCGTCCAAACCGCGGTTTTGTTTCCGTGCCGCAGGCCGACAGCAGCGCCTCCGACTCGGAGGTCGAACGGGAGGTGGAGGCCGACTGGTCGTGCTGGCCGCGGGGCTCGGTGCGCGGCTCCGAGTGCGTGGTGTGCCTCGAGGCCTACTCGCTGGGCTGCCTGCTCACGTGCCTACCCTGCGGCCACGCCTTCCACGCTCGCTGCATTGCCATCTGGCTCGAAGGCGGCCGCCACTGCTGCCCCGTGTGCCGATGGCTCGCGTTCCGCGCACGACCCCAGCAGGCCGCCCCCCCGGCTCCACCCGGCTTCACCCAGCACGCCGATTGAAGGGGAAACGTCACTCGTAAAATCCGCCCTCTACCCCACCCATCCATCTGCCCCCTACCCACCCACCCACCCCCGCTGCCACTCAAAGCGGAGTGCACTTAGTGCACTACATGAAAGGTTGAATGAAATACCTCTTTTCCACGGTACAACCGAGCCGTGCTGGGCCCACGCCAATGCAGCCCAGTGCAGCTCCTGAGGCGCCAGGTTGCTTTTCCACTGCAGAAGCCGGTGCCATGCTGCTAAAGTCGCACGCGATGAACGAGTGGAGACGCATGCAGATCACACTGCCTTCCATCTATTGACTGATGTCACGCTTACGGGCTCCTCGCGGTACAGGTGGTTTTCCACTGGCTTGTTTTCCATGCTTAACGAGAACCAGGCCATGATGTCGCTGGCCTCACAAGACATCTGAATCCAGCTCGGGGCCAAGCAGGGCCAGAGGCATGGCTAAACAACGCATTAGTTGCGTGTGACGTCAATCGGCAAACAACCCAGACACATCACCGCATCATCTCCCTGTGTCTCAGCCCTGTCATTGCGTGTGATTCTGCAGTGGGACAAAATGTGACCCCCTCCTGAGCTGCACCACCTTGGTTGCACCATTGGAAAAGAGGAATAAGGATGTGTTTGTCCGGCAAAGGTGCATATATCAATTTTACATCGGTGTCAATGGCTAGGAATCGAACCTAGGTGAACGAGATAATAGTGCAGTACGCTAAGCATTGTGCCACAGCTCCCGACATCAGCTCACCGACAGCACACTTTACTCCAGCCGTCTGTCAAGCTTAACAAATACCTTCGTGTCTTCAATCACTCCTATAACAAATACAAGCTTGCCTTGTGGCACTGTAATTGAGGGCAGTTCCTCAAACGAAGCATCGAACATTCATCATTGCCAAACGTAGATAAACGCCACCTGACCATTTAACGTTCAGTGGCAGACATCGCAGAGCCTGTGCGCAAGCTATGCTTTGCTTCCGGTGCACGTCAGGTGCGCTGTGAATAAAGCCGCATACCCTGAGCGGGAGGAAGAAGATCAGCAGATCAGTGTAAGGGCAAGTGGGAATTGGTGTTTAAATCGGCGTTGTCAGCAGTTTCTTCTATTCGTGCAGTGAACATAGTGACCACATTCAAGAGCGTAATGCGAATTTAAGAGCTACTCAAGTTTAAACTTCGGTGAAATTAGGTGAAAAGGACACAGTTATCCCCCACGCCATGTTAATGTAATCTTATAAATTATGCATGGTGCTGTCATGTTCTCATTGAGATACAAAGTGCGTTTCTGGTGAGGGTTGATGTCCTTTCTAGTGCTCTGATGAAATCTTCATTATTATTACTTTTCATTTCTTAGATCACCCAGAGTTAGAAATCTTTACTTGGACTGGAGGAATCCAATGAGCTATGAAGTTTTCGTTTCAGAGATGTCCAGTCAAGGGCGGGTCAGCAGAACGAATTCCCAATTGACAGTCAATAAGGGGCGTAGCCTTGAATACGGATGGAGGAATACTGCAAGAGCAGAAATTGTAAGTCAAGTGTTGACTTTGCAACAGCTGTGAGTTCCGACACAAGGGAGAAAGCAGTGGTGACATCTGGAGGCATCGGCAGTATTGACCTTGATGACCTCTGGACCTTGAAGTCGCAGGATAACGCAGCTGTCAGGCCTATTTGTCGATTTTCTCCCAATCACGTGATGCATCTTAAGCTTTGACACGTTATTTCTTGTTCTTCTCTCCATTCTGCACGCGTTGGTCTTCTCTGTTACATTTCGCTGGGGAAAAGAGTGATCTGAGCATCTGCATTATCTAATCATTTGGTTGTTTTTTTTTGTTGTTCAGAGACCCTCCCCCTCCCAACAGTTTAAGCCAGAAATAAACACCCCAGATGTTTCCTGTCTCTTTAATATAGGTGAGGCTCATATGGTCTATGATTTTCTGTTACATTGCATAAACATGCACACGTTCGTTGTGGTGCCTTTTCACCACGTGCAATCAACTGCAACGGCATGCGGTGCGTGCGATTGATTGCGTTCGTCGAGTCTGACGGGGAGGTGTTTGGCACATTAACACGAGTAAATTTAAACGCGTCGGTTTCGAGTCTCACAGTTCGAATTAAAACCCCGTGTAAGCATGCCACCGGTGCGTAAAAATGTGCTGTCCGCGGAAGGCTTGCAATTTGACCGCAGTGCGAGTGTTCTTGATCAGAAGGGTTTGTGTAAATATACTCTCAGAATGCTCCAGTGGGTAATATGCATTAGTTTTATTTTTCCAGTACAGCACGGTTTGACCGTGTGAGAATCCCTCAAGCCCATGGCTGGGAAGATGTGCTTAGTGGCTGATATTTTGCATCTTGCTGTTCAGCCCCACGCGATTTCTTTTGCACTGAAATGGACCAACTTTATTGACACTGCTATAGCTGTTGGGGAAAGGCACTTGCACACGGTACTCGCTTATAATAATCGAGCTCAGACCACTTCCACCTTGACAGATGGAGTGGATGGTAATGTGATCTTATTTCCTATGTCGGCGTGAAAAACCCATCCTTCCAAGGTTACAGGTTTATATATGGAAGGAAAGCCATCTTGTAAAGAGACTTACAAAGGGTGTACTAAATCCAACCACTGTATTTCGTTACCCAATCTATACAAATCAAAATAACTCAACCAATAATTGTTGCCGGCATGTGCATCATTATCTAGCGTAGATAACTATTCTCATTTGTCCTATCTCTGGGTAATCTGAATGTGTAGGTTGGTGAGAGATGGCAACTGTATACATTGGGCCGTTTGTTGAAAGTTCTTCAGGCCTTGTTAGTTTAATATATTGGACTGCTATGATTGCATTATCATCCACATTGTAAGGCAGTTTAAACTGCTTTGACAATGACTGCTAATAATATACATGTTTGCACAGCAGAGTTGAAACTAATATTTCAATGGCCAGTAAGAAGATGAACAGATAAAATAAAAATGACCGTGTAAAATGAACGTCTAGATTTATTTTCTAAACTCAGGATTTTTACCTAGGTTTTGGTGTGACTAATGTAACTTTTGAACATTGCTCTTTGGTTTCCTTTCCACGTGGAATGTGTGACGGAGAGGGGGGGGGTCGGACAGGAGTGACAATATTTCTCGACACCCTGGCAAATGCATTTTCCTCAAGGGAAATCATTCGTCAAGGACAGCTTGTCCAAGTGTTCCCTCTGCTTAAGCTATAAGAATTTAAATAGATTACGTTAAAATAAAGTGTCACTCTGCATTTAAAATGTGCGAACGAGTTTTAAATGTGAGAAAGCATTAGTGGACCGTGAACTGGAGGAGAGTATGTAACAGTTTATGCAAAAGGCTAATGAAAGTTGATTGTGATAATGTTTTTATCAAACGAGGTTTGTGCCAAATTCACTTTTATTGGCGATTTCAAGATGTTGGTAAAACTCTGTTTCCCATCTCAGGTGCTACCAACAAGTCAAATATTTGGCCTGGGCTCTTGGACTATAAAGACATCAATGTACGAAAAAAATGTGGGACCATAAGTTCCAACCCACTGTGCAAATTATCCCTAATATTTTACTGCCGTTGACCACCTAAATGACGTGTATCATCCATGATGCGAAATATATTCTTTGTGATTGGCAGAGTCTGTGTACCATTACAAACGAGACCACCGCAAAACGTTATCCCACCTTTCCACATTGTGGCTGCAATGCTGTGAAGGCCACGTGAATCGGTGTCACCTTTTTGCAAAACAACGAACGACGTGTTTTACGCCGGGTTTTTTTTTCAGGGTCAAGGGCAGGTCAGTTAGTGCCAGAATACGTGGATCGATTTCTAATTAGACCCAAGACCTTTCTAATAAAATACTGCTTGTAGAGCAATGGACCAGTAGTGTGGGAGAGTTTCATGGGCTGAGGTTAAAACTGGGTCTAACGTGAAATGAGATTACGATTGCGAGACCATGAAATTTAGTTTTCGCATTGACGTCCTCCAAAAATCAATTCCGCCCAAAGCTACCTCGGTCAGTTGATTGCAGCCATCGGTATTCAGACCTAACAGCTGAGCAGCGAGTTGGCCTGTGAGTGACCTGTGTGGGTTGAGAAATCACCTTCGTCAGTGCAAAGTTAATAATGATAACAAGACGTGGCAGCAGGAAGCGGCGGAGGTTCTGAATTTAATACCGTGACGAAGTTGCACACCGAGCGGAATTGACATCTCTTCACGGGGCAACATTGGAATGGCTTGTAACAACGTTGACTCACTCGGATTTTTGCACAAGCGTAGGATTATCCTCTCAGTTTTTGTGTGTGCCTGAGAGTTGGGGTTGCAAGATATTGAATGTATGTTGAACTTCTTTCGCACCTTACATAGCCAACCATGCTATTAGGAGGTGTGGGGGAAGGACACCAAACTAAACACAGAACAATAACACCAGAGTGCACTGATTGCGTTTTCATTTTGTTAATTCACTTCACTCGGGTTCTTAAGTCCCCCCCCTCCCCCCCCACTGCTTGTTATGGCTTGCCGATTTCCGCGATGATTACTGGAACACTGTCCAAGAATTAGAACAATGGAACTCTTGATTATGCTTTTTTCATCGGGTACCAGGCAGAAGAAGAAACAAAAATTCCCATTCGAGTAATAAACAATGTTCTCAATTGCACGTCTCCACGTCGTTTATTTTCATGTGTTCTGTTAAAACCTGACACTTTTTTCAACAAGAAAATTGAGTTGGCTTGTTTTAGCCCTGTTGGTCTTGTTATGAAACGTGCACACAAATATTACGTGTGTGGTGCATAAGAAGCTAGAACTCTGGACGATGTTCCTTTATGAATTAAAAAAATATATTTTTCACGTTTTCTTCGACCTTTAATTGTGATCGGCAACAACCTCCTGATGCATATCGTATTCTGACACTGTTATTGTTATACTCAGGCATTGCTCAGTCATTCCAACTTGAGCTTCAGACAAGCTGACTATGGGACATTAGCTTTATTGTCTAACACGACGAATTGCATTGCTCCTGGGAACGGACATGCAGTTTTATTAGTGCCGTGAGCTAGAATCCAGAGCAAAAATTAATCACTGCTCGCTTACAAACATTGGCCAAACCATGTGTTATTGCTGGCAGAAAGCCAATGGGACAAATGTGAATGCAGTGACATTTCTTGCCACCCAGACTTGCAAAGTGTACATAGTTTGAGTCCTTGGAGAATGTTCTGCGTAGCCAGTGATTCATATATTGGCCTCGTTTTCATCGTTGCGTGGACATGGTCAATTATCTCGACTGTCATTTGACTGAAAAATCGCATTGAATCGTCTCAATTGACTCCGTTTAACAAATTTACAGTCTATTTGCAAAAAAAAACCGATACAAAACATACACGATTCTGTATAGCTGTTGCATACAAAATGCAGTTTTATTTAATGATGTATCACTACAATTTTCTGAATGTTCAGTGACCAAACATGAATTGTACTCTTTGGTTCTTTCGGTAAAGTCACGTAGGTATAAAATAAATTAAATCGCGACGTTTCGGGCGCAACACAAGCGTCCGTCATCAGGTGGGACAACCACAGCAAGAAATAATTGCTGAAGTGGGCAAAAGGGCTGCTTGTAACAAGAGGCTATATCGGTAAGAGAGGAGGGAGGAGCCAGGGAGGACAGATTGAGGGTGGGGGTGTGGGTTTGGGAGAGTGGGGCGCTGCTAGAGGGATTAGGAAGAGAGCAAGGCCAAATCCCTGTCGCAGCGCCCCCCTAACCCACACCCCCCTCTCTTATCTCTCCTCCCTGGCTCCTCTCCCCTCTCTTACCTATATAGCCTCTTGTCACAGCAGCCCTTTTGCCCACTTCAGCAATTTTTCCTGCTGTGGTTGTCCCACCTGATGACGGACGCTTGTGTTGCACCCGAAACGTCGTGATTAATTCATTTTATTTTATACCTACGTGACTTTACCGAAAGAACCAAAGAGTATGGATCCCTGCAGTCACGAAAACTTCAAATCTAGAATTAAACAGGAAGTATCTTCGGTTACCATCCCCACAACAGAGTTACCGTTTTTTTTACTGTAACCGAAACTCCACATGCAGAAGACAGGACTGGCAACAAAAAAATGTTCCCCAAAAAATATGGAACTCGTCCTCATCATTTGTTATACACCATCTCAGCAGATTCACGTCATGTAAAGCTATCTTTAAAGTTCCATGCGCTGTTTATAACATTTACGTTACAACACTTTTATCAACGCACTACTGGATGAAGGCCTCTCCATGATGTTTTCGGCACCGGGGGTTCTTTGACCATACTTCACCACAACACTCATTGTGGGTTGGTGAAGGAGGGGTAGGGGACAGGACTGGTTAAGGATATTGCCCACCACCAATATTAGCTATGGTTGGGAATCGACCTCAAGTCGGCGGGTTCTTAGAGCGGTATGCTAAAATTGCCGAGTTACCTCTCACGCGTATGTTGTTCACTCGTCATAAAATATCACTTGATGTGAATAATCTCTGCCATGATTGTGGCCGAAAAATTGTTCGAAATTCTAGTGACAGTTTAAAAAAAAAATAACCCCACAATCTTCTTCGAAGCACGTTGGTTCATTCACTGACCCATGCAAACTGATGTTAATTATGGTATGGAAACAATCAGAATTAGCAATTAAAATGTATTGAACAAATACCAGCACAATCAACTTGCATGAACTTTATTGAGTATAATTTGTGTCGTGCTCGTTCCCATATTGGTCCTGTCATTTTGCATCAACACACAAACACAACCCTCTCCGTTATTAACCCCAAAATGCCATGTTTCACCAACCACATTCCATTTAAATTTTGATTTAAAGCTTTCGTGACTGCAGGGATTCATATTCTTGGTTCTTTCGGTAAAGTCACGTAGAAGGGAAACAATAGAATAATAAAAATATAAAACAATAAAATTCTCACGACGTTACGACTGCAACACAAGCAATCATCATCAGGTGTGAAAACCACACCTGGTTATTCTAGATCCCCTATTACAGCCAAGCGACATCTCCTTGGTTAGAAAGTTACACGCAACGTATGATGTTGATTCCCTTTTAGGATCTAACTCGCGCAAACCTCTGTCCTCTTCGTCTATGTAACTATCTACGAGCCTTACCATCACAGGGGTACTGCCACTGTGACTGAAAGGCTTCTGCTACATCAATTGCAAATTCAGATGTGATTTTGTTTTATTGCATACAGTCATTGTTGACGAAGCTGAGAGTATTAAAAAATCATAACCTCGGAGAGCAATAAAAGCCCAGGATGTTCGTGGCACCATTATCAGACAGCGTAGACAGCCATTCATCTTCACTACAGTTATAACAACATTCTTACAACATTTTTTTTTGAAAAATTTCAAGCATGCTTCAAAGCAAAAATGTTTTTGAATCGCAACTTCACGTGTAAATGTGCAAGATATTTTGTTGCAATAGCCACTTGGTAGCGAAGCAGATTTGTGATTGGCCAAAATAAATATGGTGGTGTCAACACGTTACTCTATGTATTAAAGGGCATAATATACGGATACAAATTTACAAAGCGAAACGGCAGCTGAGCAGCACTCTCATTGGCGCGCTCGACTCGCCACCCGAAGGTTGCGAGTGCAAATCCCGACAGGGATTCGGACACAACCTATCATACCTCTGGTATCGATAATTTCAAAAAGTACACCACAGAAGTCCGCAATCGTCGTTATGGTGAGACTGGCCTACGTGATGGAAATGTGGACCACCAACTGTTGAGAGCCTTGTACGTACAATGTTGCTCACACCTGAGTAGGCAGAGGGAGACAATGTCCAACTAATGCCCATGCTGGCTAGATGAGTTGGAAGCGGTGACGTATACCTACTAGGCATGCGTTCAGATTTAATTTTTTCAGAAGTCAGATTTTCCGATATTTAGTTTCTTGGGCCTAAAACTTGGTTATTCGTATTTTTGGATTTACTTTTGAATAACATCTAATAAAGTTAATGATTATGCACGGAATGTGATCATTTTTGAAGTTTAATCGTGAAATAACTTAATTATTTTATTTTAACGTGAACAAGAAAATATATTTTCCGATTTAAGCAAAGTGAGTCGTGCGATGGCACTGTTGGCATAAAAGTATGAACGTAACTTCAAAAGTGAAGTTGCTTAATATGACATCACATTACTGTGTAACTATGCCCGATATTTTGAAAGTCGGATTAATAAAAAGTCAAACTTTCCCAAACAATCAAGCAACTCCTCATAACTGTTGGACAGTTCCTTAGTGGGGAAAATTCCACACTCCCATGGCAGGGTCCAGTCTCCCCATAGGACAACTTTCCCAACCAGAAGTGATTCCCAATAACATTTGCTGCAGTGTACCCTACTGCAGATACATAGAAAATTAACAGCCGCTCAAGTTTTCAACAATGACGACGACTCAAACCCTGAACCTCTGGGTGTGCAAATCTAATGAGCTTACCCTTTTGCATCACGGTAGATTAAATATGTGCATCGAACATAAATTACAGAATTACAGTAACACAACAAAGCATGCTTTATATGTCCTTATGGCAAAATGAGACAACGCCTGTAACAAACATAAGTATGCAGCACAGGAGTGTGCAAAGAGTGAAAGTGCCAAAAGTTGGGCATTCCATTGCAACATCGTTGATGAATACAAAAAAATGTAACACGTAATTCAAGTACATGCAACTTTCACAACGTATACCAAATGTATTTATTGACAATGCCACTGGCTAAAAATGATATTACAAGCTCAATTTCCCACCTGGGTAGGCTCAGCCCATCACCCCCCACCTCCCCCAGGCGTTGGTAAACTGAGCATCAACTGGGGATGCTGTACCACTTAGTGGAAGTCGACCGCAGGTGTGCTGTGTACAATTCAATGCCAGAGGAAAACGGAATTTCCGCCACTGGGCTCAGGTCAGTGGCGAGTGTTGGCCAATGCTTACATGAGCACTCACTTTCCTCGGGTGATGATGCTGCTGTTGTAAAGTGCGGTGCAGATAAAGGCACAGCCCTGCAATTACTTGCTGAAACCACTGTTGGTGGAAAGGGCTCCACTAGAAGGAGCTCCAGGGAGAGTCCTAGAGGATATTTTTGCCTACTCTTCCACGTCTTGAAGGAGGTGGAAGCACACCCACACTTTACCCCACCACACACTACCTGCTAATCGACCGTGGTTAACTCATTTACTGTTATTATTTTACCAGGTAAGGGCCCATTGAGCTATATACAGTATCACTCTTTCAGAAGCGAGCTGGTCAAAAATTATAGTTCAACGAAGTGGATTATCATTTGGAAATTTCTAGCAGCCAAATACTCTAAACCCATGTTTCTAAATGTGGAGGGAAAACCCGGAGGACCCCGGAGAAAAATCCACGCGTCCACGTGGAGAGACACGCAAACTCCAAATATACAGGCGTCAGGGTCGGGATCGAACCCACGACCCCTACATACCAGGCGAGGGAGATAACATCTCACCACCAGTGGGGAAATGGTAAGGGGTTAAGAAACTTGTTCCATTGTTTCCATTGCAAACGCAGTGTGCTTACCATGACACCACGGGATTATCCATAAAGCACATTTCCAGTCACACACCTTTGATTTACAATGCCATTCCAGAAGGTATTATAAATTACTTACACGCTACCAGGTAAGTACCCACTGAGAAAATAGGTTTCGTGGATGGGGCAAACAGTTTGCTTTCAGAACAAGGATTTGTAAAGTTAGCGAAATTTTACATTCGTACACGACAATTGACTTGCGCAAACTATTTTAAGGACTTAAAAATTTCCCCAATATTTTAAAACTGCCGTTCTAAAACCATAAAACTTCAGCCACAGCCAGGGGCGGAGCCACAGTTACAGGTTCCCCTCACTTCACGCGGTAGATGCGTTTCCAAAAGAAAAGGGGGCACGCACGAAGCAAAAACCGCGTCGCAATACGCCGCAGAATACAGCTGGCGACCGAGTAGCGTACACACAGTACATACAACGTTTTCCCCAGCATCCTACCGCATAGCCCACAGGGTGGTCGCCTACCGAAATTACAAGAAGATGTATTTTGTTTCGAATTGGGTGTGTAAAAAAAAAACTCAACATTTCAAGAGACCCGCGATGCCCAACTCCTGGCGCAGCCGCGTGCCGGTGAATTCAAACCGCATACAGCAAATCTTTGGGTGGAAATAGGTTAGCCGCATGTGTGCAAAAAGACAAAAAAATCTCACAAACCGAACTGGCACAATAGCAGAGGGATCAACGTGTTGCGGTGAAAGTTGATAACTCGGCCGCGTATCTGTCGAGCCACACGTGAAGCTGCCCAAGAGCCACATGCGGCTGGCGAGCCACGGTTTACCCCCCTCCCCCTGGTCGAAGTGAACAATAAAAAGTGCCCCCTCTTCCAGCAAGTATTAATAACAGTACCGCATTACTTAGAGACGTCGCCTGTCTCACTCACCACTGTGCTATCTCCTAAACAAGCAACATCCTGCACCTCGGTCATAAAACTCATTGAGCATCGTTTCTAAACATACAGCATTATAGTCTTGGTTCTTTCGGTAAAATCACGTAGAAGGGAAGCAATAAAATAAAAATATAAAATAATAAAATTCTCACGGCGTTTCGACTGCAACACAAGCAATCATCATCAGGTGTCTCCGTGTCTCCGTGCCTCCGCGTCTCCGTGTCTTGCTGTGGTTTTCACACCTGATGATGATTGCTTGTGTTGCAGTCGAAACATCGTGAGAATTTTATTGTTTTATATTTTTTATTATTTTATTGTTTCCCTTCTACGTGACTTTACCGAAAGAACCAAGAATATGAATCCCTGCAGTCACGAAAGCTTTAAATCAAAACATACAGCATTGTTTACGACGTGCGTCCCCATTTCCTATTAAAATACCCAAAACACACAACCTAAGCGAAGCATAATTGCTGTAAACTTTTCAAGATTGTTTCCCCCCCCCCAACAAAAGATGATAAAATTGTAACAAAGCACTATTGAGAACGATCTAACCCTCCTTCACTTTTGGAGCAATGTAATAACATTACATCTGCATTCTGCACATCACGTAAAAGCCTTCATGTACACTACTAAAAACAACAAAATGGAGAGACCAATACAGTAAAACCTTGGATTGCGAGTAACTTGGTCTGCGAGTGTTTTGCGAGACGAGCAAAAATTTAAAATTAATATTCATTTGATAAACGAGCGAGGGTCTTTGCAATACGAGTAGTACATATACTCTGTCGAGCGTCACGTGATCAAAATTAATATACGAGTGCTTTGATATACGAGTGCTTTGGATTACAAACACGTTTCCGGAACGAATTATGCTCGTAATCCAAGGTTTTACTGTATATGCACTACAATTCAACTCAACTGAACCGTCATCCATTCATCGATACCCCATTTAAATAACGAAAAAAAATCTATACGTCCTCATTGCATCGTTTAACACTCCCCTCTGCAAGATGCGGTGCCAAGACTTTCACAACATTCACTTTAGCTGTTCAAAAGTACAAGGATCATTAGAAATCAATGGGGGGGGGGGGGAGTAGCTACAAATAGACAAGCGTTGCCACCTGTTTTGGTTTTCCCAGAATTATCCTCCCGTTTGAAGGCAGCAGCTGTGCTGGGAAATCTGTCCGTCTGAGACATTAACACCGCTGGTGTCAGGTGTATAAACAGAATGATAATACACCACTCACTCAAGACAATGCATTTTACATGTCATTATCCCGCCTGCTGGTATTGAGATATTATTCTTCCCGTGGTATGTCCCACCTATATTGTACTGTAGAGGGTGGAAACCCTGCCCTGCACATTGAAGCCAGCGATAGTTAGTTAGTGTTTGACTGAAAACTGGTCTAACCGATCTAACATTTAACGAATAGTTTAACCAACCTGCGTTCCCTTCATCTTTCGTTTCATTCGGAATGCTTTCAAAGTTAGAGCTTCTGCCTAATCGCGAGCACACACACTCGTCCGGAGCGTACCCTGCATCAGCTTAACCTTTCCTGCTCAAGGGCAGTCGTGTAAGGCACTCACCCCTGGGGGATACTTAAACAATAGCCTGACATATGCCAGCGACTCACTCGGGCGAAACGTCATTCACATCCCGCACGAAAAGCTCAAGGTTGAAGCAGGCAAATATTTCACGGAGACAGAGCATTTTACAATGATGCTGATGACAGACGCTGAGAGATTCTCATGATAGCCTAGGCTCAAAGCACGATTCCATTGCTACAGTCGTACACAATTTCATCGCGGGATAGTGGCATTTTCAGAATCGTGGCATCGTCGAGAAGCCGGGCTGCACGGAGCCAGGGTGTGGCACGCAGAGGCCCCGATGCCCTCTTGTCGTGTTTAAATGGTAATTCTGGCTTATGCCACACGGCTCGTATCAACCCAGCTTCCAGCCAGCCTATATTGAGATGATGATCGCCATTGAAACGTGCAGCTGAACAGCCTGTAGTTTGACGATGATATTTTCACCATACTGTAAATGTAATTATTATTGTTGGCCTTCATTAGTTTCTTCTTTACTCTCGCTATATTTCGGGTGCAGTCATTATTATTGGCTCTTGCTGCATTTCGATTGAATTTTATCTATACTTTGAGAAGTTTCAATAGAATAGGCGCTTTATAAAATATAGATTATTATTATGTAATGTCCAACTGTTTCAATGGTGATCGTGGTTGATACTAGTAGGCTGCGGGAAACGGCCCGGGATTATCGCCGAGACCAGAACTACCACCGGGACCTCCCGCCATCGAGTCCCAATCGAGTCCCACTCGATCTTATTATACACCTCGAGTGGTACTCGAGCGGGACTCGAGCAAGTGCTGCCATCTTACTTCAAGTGAACGAGAGACTGCCAAGTCGGCATCGCCCATAGAAGAATCGCAGAAATAATCCAGGGTGGAATTGCACGAATGGAATACGATTCCTGAATGAACCGCCCAGCTCTGACTGACAGCTCGTTGGAGCAAATACAAATGTGGTAGGTTTACATCCTGATGAAACCTACATTCCCCCCATTGTTGGTAATGGAGCTATCGGCAAATTGTTGTCAAAAACCTGATGAAAATGTACACCTGTCAATATGCAAATGAGGTGTATAATGTCCAGGCGTACAGTATGTGGTATTTACATCTGCAGATCATCCAAGTCTGTTAACATTTAGATGACTAAATATTTGTTTTAACTATATGATATGACATGATTAGAATGATATGTCATATTCAACTCACCTAAGGCATCACTACACAAACTACATTTTCTTCCCAGTTAGATAATGTGTTTCCACCCAAATTAGCATATTGAATCGTCGATTAAAGTCACTTAATTTTTTTAAATAAAAGCAATCCTAAAAAGTAATCAACCGGTACATTACAATTAACAGCAATCATTATTACAAGCCGAACATAAATAATATGCAATTACCTTTGGTAACCTCGTTCGTGTAAGATTCCTGAACTCTCCGCACAAGTGTAAACAAAGTTATGCTTTTCAAATGTAGGGCTTGCCCAACACCGAAGTTAATTCTCAAGCCACCGATACATTTGAGCCTAGCCAGCACCGGTGCCTATACAGTACGAAGGTTTTTTTTATTTCCACTGGATATTTACCATCTCCTGCTGGAACCAAACCGTGAAACCGTAGCCCACGTGACATCTGAATCTGGCTCGGGGCCAGGGAAAGGGGCTAACGACGCGTTCCATCGCGTGTGACGTCAGTCGGTGCTCTGTGAGGCCACAGCGTCACCGCGTCATCTATATGCGACTTGACCGGTCCATTGCGTCCAGTGGAAAAATACAACTTGGTGCCTCTAGAGCTGCGCCGGGTTGGCTCGGCACAACCCTGGCATGGCCCCAGCATGGCTCGGCTCAGCTGTACCGTGGAGAACAGGCATCAGTTAATGGGGATGAGGGCTTTTGCGTCAATTCTCGACGCAAGTTCTTTTTTGATATCTTCTCCTTCGACCTTGTGCCAGCAGAAGCTGGGCTCCTTTACCACTGGAAGCTCGCAGCCACCGTCCGTTCCTGGCGTGCCCGCAGGGCAAGTGCTGCCACCATCCTTCGCCTGCGTGAAGATTGCATGCATCATTTTCGAATCAAACTTACGGACATCCCCATCGTGCATTCGCGAAACAAATGAATGTCCGTAAGTTGTGGCATTTTCGTGCCATGAGATACGGCATTTGATAGATTTCCACCTTTTTCGTGGCTAGGTCAAACTCACACTGCAAGGTACAAGACTGGAGAACATGGCTAAGTGTAAATGTGAAAAACCATGACACTACCATGAATGAAATATAATCTGCAAAATGTAACACATTCCTGCGGAAGGAGCTGGTAGGAATGTTGGGTTGCTCGGTCAATGGCCAGGGTCAACGGCGGCACGTGATGCATTCCGCAAATATGCCCGACAGTGAGGGCGGGCACAAACCAGCCCCTCCCCACCCTCCCCACCCAGCCCCTCCCCACCCTCCCCACCCAGCCCCTCCCCTCCCCACCCAGCCCCACCCCTTCCATTTTTGGATGCACGACGGACGGACACAATAATCCCCTGTGGGCTGGTGTAACCAGGAGGTTCCTACCAGTATAAACTGTCCCTAATTCATAATACAATGATAGGTAAAGGAGCAGCCCTGCAATTGCTTGCCCACATCACTGCTGACAGAAGGGCCTCCCCGAGAGGGGGGCTCTAGAGAGCCCTTCTGGAGGGTATCTTGGCCTACTATTACACGCTGGCCAGACATCTTGGAAGAGGTGGAAGTACCCACACTTTACCCCACTACATGTAACCTGCCAATCGACTGTGCTGTATTCATTTATACTGCTGGGTGAACAGAGGCAAGGGAGGGGGGGGACGTAATTTGAGTAACTTGCCCCATCTTTTAAACTGCCGCGCCGGGCGTGAACGGACAACTTCTGGACCCCAAGTGTGCTAACTGTTGCAAAAACGACAGCATTCAAATGCATTCTATGTTAATACATTACCACGTGTAGCTCTCCGAGGAGTATAATGAACTCGAAGTAAAACAAACTCACCAATGGCTTTGTGGGACTGATTGTGATCAGGATGTTGAAGCAGATCCCATCAGCGCCACCGTCCACCCCAACTCCCGCCAAGTGCTGTATCCCCAGCAGCCCCAACATTCGTGCGTGAATCTTGGGAGGGCTGGGCCACACCTTCTGGAGCAGCCTGGTTCAGGCAACACGGACACAGGCGGCAATTAACACGTATAGCTCTCCGACGAATTCAGTGCCTGAGAAGCTCCCAGCGTGTGCAGCAGCGAAACGTTGGACTTTACGGCGAACAACACGGGTTCGATTCCCCTCCCACAGCGTCATCTCAGTGATTCCTCATCATCGCCACCATCATCATCATCAGCCATGGTCACTCCACTGCTGGATGAAAGCCTCCCCAAGCCTCCATCATGCTCAGGTATGGTCACTCGACTACTGGATGAAGGCCTCCTCCACCATCACCTGCCCCAACAGCTTGGTAAAGGCTACATGGGGGATCTTTGTCCTTGTCTCCTTCAGAGACGCTGCTACTCACGGTGCCACGGTGGCAAGATGTTAACTACCTCACCGGCTATACATGACGTCGTGGGTTCGATCGGTTGGCTATGTATGATATGAAAGAAGTTCAACATACATACATACACATGGCAGGACCCGAAAATACATCAGAGCTCTGAACGGCAGAATGGCGAAAACCTACACGATAGTTATACCGCGTGCTGTTCGCCATGTGCTCCTCACTCACGTACTATCTGACCGAATCACATTGCTGGATGGGGCAATCGGCTCACCATAGGAAGGACGGGGATTCAAATGGCAGCTGGAGGTTGATTAAGCCTACCAACTCTGTGGGGAGTTCGATAAAAAAAAACAGGCAATACTTCGTGGCAAACTGGTAGGGTAATGGCCCCTGCCATGTGAATGTGGAATTTCCACCAATGGATCAAGCCCAATTGCTCATCTGAACACGGATAAAGTTTGATTCAATAATTAAAAAGTGAGAAGTTTAACACACTAATGATTCCTTGTAAAGAAAGAAACTCTTGCATGTAAAACAGCATGCCGACTGGTACCGCTGTAAAAGCCACCCAGGTAAATTACGATAATAATAATAATAACAAAGTGTAATGATTTGTGAGTTTATGCCATTTAGTAAAGTAGCTGAATTTCAACCAAAGGCTCAGAACTTCCTACAGAGATATACACTAACATATGCTTATAATAGGGGTTTTCCCCTTTTTTCTGGCAACAAAACTGAAACCTTTTTACAAGGATTCATGTCTGCATTAACCACAATACTTGCAGTCAAAATGCAAACAAAAAACATACTATGATAATATATGCATTGTCCTTGAATCTGATTGGTCCACGCCAAGGGACGGCTTTCTTTTGAGCCTCGACCCAATTGGCGTCCTCTGGTCGAGCACCAATTGGGTCGAGGCTCAAAAGAAAGCCATCCCTTGGTGTGGACCAATCAGTTTCAAGGACAATGCATATATTATCATAGTATGTTTTTTGTTTGCATTTTGACTGCAGGTATTGCGGTTAATGCAGACATGAATCCTTGCAATAAGGTTTCAGTTTTGTTGCCAGAAAAAAGGGGAAAAACCCTATTATTATATTTTGGTACTGGCAAAGGAGGTCTAATGATGTAGATAACATATGCTTGTGATATACAATACAATGAAATTTTTATTTTAACATACAGAGAGCATCTAAATATGGTGGTGAGATTTTATCATCCTCGCCGAGTACGCAGGAGGTCGTGGGTTTGATTCCGACCCGACTCGCTCTGCCCGTGATCGCGTGGATTTTTCCCAGGGTCCTCCAGTTATGCCCTCCACATTTAGAAAACATGCATTTACATTATTTGGTGGCTACTATAAATTCCCACATATGATAAACCGCTTCAATGAGCTATCATGTGTGGCCAGGTCACCTCTAAAAAATAGTCCACAGCTAGCTTTACCTGGTAAATAAAATAGTTTAGTAGGCAACTGCATCACATGGGAACACATTTTTTTATATTGTCTTGCCTGGTAATTGCTGTCTGGATGCTGGAGGAGGCTTCTGCTTGTGATAACCCACAGACCGTCACGGGCAGGTGTGGATCTACTTCCCGATCACCACATCCCAGTACATACACCATACCCTCTTCAATACTGCAAAAACATACCGCCCACACAACAACAAACATTATCCACTCAGCGACGGTGAAATAACCGTGATGCTTGTGCTAGAGTACGTGCACTCAAAAACCACATGAAATGGCAAGATATTGCTGGCAGAAGGGATCAGGTGTTATAGGTTAAAAGCATTGGGTAACTGGTTAAAACAAAATCAAGATGCTCCGTTAAGCCATACAGGCGGCAGAAGTTGTGTTTGTGAACATCTATGACTGGATTTAAAGCTTTCGTGACTGCAAGGATTCATCTTCTTTGGTTCTTTCGGTAAAGTCACCACGTAGAATGAGAATAAAATAATAAATTGATAAAATAAAATAACACAATAATATTCTCACGACGTTTCGGCCACAACACAGTCTCTGTCCTCCAGACAGTCTCGTCCCTTCACCTGATGAAGGCCGCTTGTGTTGTGGCCGAAACGTCGTGAGAATGTTATTGTGTTATTTTATTTTATCAATTTATTATTTTATTCTCATTCTACGTGACTTTACCGAAAGAACCAAAGAAGATCTATGACTGGCATTGAAGAAAAAGGGTTGGTGTAGCTAGTACCCCATTCCTGGCCACCTTTGTCTCTCCAGTGCTGATGTTCGCATAACCAAGGAAGTACGCAAGAGAGGTTCAGGCACCACTTGCCACTGATATTTCCTTGGCCGGGAAATCAAACAAATGGCACCAATGAGTATTCGTGTGGTTTTTTTTGAGAATGTAACATTAACTTAAATTAATTACTCAATTAAATGTTTAAGTATCCACAGTATTTTTAAGCTTTGGGTGTATAAAGGTTGTCCTGGAGCAGGAAGTGATAGTACCAACGGTGATATTGTTTTCATACTCTAACTCATGCATGAACTAGACGTGAACAAGTCTGTTTTTTGAGTGTGAAAACATTTAGAGAATGCTTGGAATTGATTGTGGTCCAACAGTAAAATATAAAATTAAATCCCACTGTGCCTGCAGGGCCACACAAGGTATTCGTCCGAAGACAAATCACAAACCAAGGTTGCTACAATTGCACACTGCACTAACAAACACACCAATGTCCCCCACTACCTATTCACACACGATGACAAGGATCACACGAATGTACAAAAAGAGCGATGGGACAAGTGCTGATAACGAGCATCTATCAATGCCAGCATGATGCATTGAGGGAATTGCCTTTGCCTCACCGGTGGTAAAGTTTGCACACTGCATCAGATACACATTTAAAGCTGTGTCAACAGAGCGGAGGTCCAGAACCAGTTCAGATATCACTCGCCATGGCAGGGAATCAAAAATTACGTTTGCTGGTTTCTTGTCGCAGTGCACCAACCACTGCACAACCATTCCCCGCGCACACACACACACACAAACCCTTGCAAGGATCAGGCACAAAAAGACAGCATTCAAACGAGAGGCAGCGGCTCCATTCCAGAAGCTACGACTTGAAACCCTTACCTAGGTGGCCACCACACCACGGTGGCGCGCAGGCACACAACCGGGCAAGGCAGCTCACTGGGTAGCGCGTGGGGGTGTCGTGGCAGCCTGGCATAGGCCACGGCGGCACCCACCAGCCCCAGCATGTCACGGCCACGCAGGGGCAGCGGGCACACGCGGTCCCACCAACACGCCTGCAGAGACTCTTCGTCTGCCTCCGCCTCCGTTTTCAATTTGCCACCTGCAGTGCGACAGATTATATGTCGCGTGTCAGTCCATCGATCAGAGGATATGAAGCCAATGTTGTACGAGGAATGCATGTTTAACTTCATTCGCACCGTACCAAGCCAACCGTGCTTATAGGAGATACAGAGGAAGGACAATAAATTATATTCTTAGTTCTTTCGGTAAAGTCACGTTGAAGGGAAACAACAAAATAATAAAATATATATATAAAACAATTAAAATTCTCACGACGTTTCGACCATAACACAAACGGTCGTCTTCAGGTGTGTCGGTTTGCATAAATTAGACACAGAAAGCGGTTATGAAGAAATTAATTTTCAATCTAGATTCAAAAGTACATAGCTCCGGTGGCTTATTATATCTGAAGGAAGAGGATTCCAGACAGCCGCACAAGCGCATCTGAAAGCGCGCCATGCGGTAACCGTCTTTCTTCGATGGCTTGCAATGATCTGTCGCGAGGATGACCACCGGAGTTTGCGTGATGGTTCATGTTCCTTGACGAGATCGGCAGGGCCATGAGAGTTATTTCGCCATACTTCACCATGCTGAGCTGGTTGAGCCAAATAATTGTGTCAGGAGTAGCAGCGCGTATCGCCGTGATGATGCCTCCTTCGTATTAGTGAATGTTCCATGGTCTGTTCTGGGTGACCACACTCCTACACTGACCGAAGAGTATTACATTTTCCATATGTGCATCAAGTAGCAAGGAAAGTCTGCTCTCCTATAACGCGTGTTTTCAGAACGCGATTTTGCTATAATGCGATTGATGTATTGGGGAACAATGTTTTTATAATGCGTAAGCGAACTGGATGTATAACGCAATTGAGTGAACAGAACTACGTTGAGCGAGTAGGAATATAAGCGGTGGTACGGCTGCCTTGGAGTAGCTTTGCACAAGGTGGGATGCTGCTGGATTCTTCATGCCTCAATCTTAGTGCAGCCTGCATAAGCATCTCACGTGTTATCACGGACTGTGCTTTACCCTATATTATATATTATTTATTATAACGCGATTTTCCCCTAACGTGGTGTTCTTCAGGAACGCAACTACCGCGTTTTAGGAGAACAGGCTGTCTTGTGAGATGACCTCAGTAAGACTGTGAACGGGGTGTCCGTGTGTACTCACCCGTGACTGTGGCTAGAAACACAAAGCGGACCCATCGCAGGCCGCTCTCCTCCACCCTGAGCAGGGTGTAGGGTTCGCACTCCAGTCCGGTCTCCTCACGCACCTCACGCTGCAAGCCTTGCACCAGGCTCTCCCTCCGCTCGAGCCGGCCTGCCGGGAGGTACCACCGACCTCGACAGCTCGGCTTGGCCTCCTGGGTCAGCAGCACCTCGTTCTGAAACGAGGCGGGCATGTGAACCTGGATCGAACGGACCTGTGTAACCAGGCTTGCAACGTAGAAAATTGCATTGCTGTTCTCAGCTACCTTCACCAACCCACACTAACCAGCATGGTGAAGTATGGTGAAATAACTCTCATGGCCCTGCTGATCTCAAGGAGCATAAACCATGACGCAAACTCCGGTGGTCATCCTCGCAACAGATTTTTGCAAGCCATCGAATAAAGACGGTTACCGCATCGCACGCTTTCAGATGCGCTTGTGTGACTGTCTGGAATGCTCTTCCTTCAGATATAATAAGCCACTGGAGCTATGTACTTTTGAATCTAGATTGAAAATTCATTTCTTTAGAACTGCTTTTTGCGTTTCGTCTGTTGTCCTTCCCCACACCTCCGATTAGCACGGTTGGCTACATACGGTGCGAAAGGAGTTCAACATACATACATGGCCCGCATGAGGATATCGTATTCTGCGGATTGCATAACGTCTGCAACGTGGAAAAAAAAACCAGCTAAATTCTAGAACCGTCCAGGTGTAACCCAGACACGTGGCAACGCGAGTCATACTCACTCCACTCTCCGGCACTCGGCTCACATTCGAACATGAGAACACTTGTCACCATTGTTCAATGTCACCGTGCTCTTGGCAACCGTACGCCGCTGCGCACCTTGTCATTGAGGATAACGGCAGCAATGATGTAGCAGACGTTAGTGCGCAGGGCGACGGCGTCGGTGGGCGCGCCCTGGGGGGGCGACACGTCGCTCTGCGTGTAGGGGACCGCCTGGCCCCTCAGCAGCACGGACAGCTCCTGCTCCAACAGCGGAGCCATCCTCGCCATGTTGGCCCAGCCGGCGTGGTGGTTGGTGGTGGTGGCGGCGGCACTATGCAGCATCCATCATCTGCGCGTTTAAAGCACTATTAGTTATGGGAAATGCTCTTTTCGCTCTCTCTCAGAGTGGTTGTGTGAAATGCACATACAGTAAAACCTTGGATTGCGAGTAACTTGGTCCGTGAGTGTTTTGCAAGACGAGCAAAATTTTTTAATAAATATTCATTCGATAAACGAGCGTTGTCTTGCAATACGAGTAGCACGTATACGCTTTGTACTGCCGAGCGTCACGTGATCACAACTGATATACGAGTGCTTTGGATTACAAACACGTTTCCGGAACGAATTATGCTCGCAATCCACGGTTTTACTGTAATCTATTTCTGATATGAATATGTAAATATATGTTATTGTATATTCAAATATATATCAACGATAACACCTATAATATTAAATTTCACCAACAATTATAGGTGAAGACTGTGCTTTTCAATCGTTCACTATGGTGCTTAGTCGAAGATAGTAAATATTGAGCTTGCATAATAAGGAAGAATGTCACATATCCGACTGACTGGGGATTGAGGTATGGGCAGATAACTGAATGGTCAACTATGTATATGGATAGAAATTATAGTTACACCATGCACAAATAACAAGAGGGAAAACTGATTTAAACATGGGCACGTGCTTTATAACTCTGCTTTAGAAGGAAGCAAATCGGGTCAACATTAATATTTTGTTGTACCTTATGCTGGGCTTTAAGGTACTGAAAATATTACATCAAATACATTTAAAACTTACATTCAGAACCTTTTTATGCCGTTCAGAGAGATGAGCACGATAAGAATGTGAAGCATACGGTGGCAGATGAATAAATTGGTCCAAATATAGCGGCAACTGTATCTCCTTTCTAAAAACGCATTGTCACGTATTAGCTATGCAAACGTTGCAAACGCTCTGATGCTCAAAAAGGCATTAACAAAATAACTTGGAACGATGCACTGCCATCCCGATATATTCACCGTGTACATTAATGGTGCATGCATGGCAATTTTAGTGGTAAAGAGCTGAGCAATATTGACTGTTTGGCAGGAGTAACACAATGTCCTTAAATCGTGCACACATATGGCGTTGTTACGACCCTTCAGCTATACACGTTCAAAAGCAGTACAAAGCTATAGGAATATAAAGCCACTTTGTGATTCATATTCTTGGTTCTTTCGGTAAAGTCACGTAGAAGGGAAACAATAAAATAATAAAAATATAAACCAATAAAATAATAAAAATATAAAACAATACAATTCTCACGACGTTTCGACTGCAACACAAGCAATCACCATAGTTCCATGGTGAAGGGTACAAAGGTGGAAGGAATCTGTGGAAATGTTTCAGCTCTGTAGACGAGGTGGTTATAATGGGGGAAATAATTAATTGCAGGGGACAAGATTGGAGATCTAATCTGCATGAGAGCCATGGGCCATAAAATCGTTGAATGCGCCCCAGGATCAAGAGTGTGAAATGAAAAGGCGAATGACAAGCAGGATGAACTATTTTTTTTAAATATAACATTACAAACGAACAGCAACATACCAATGTTTATACCGTACACAGCACCATGTTGGCACTGACATTTTAAAAGGCAGCCAGCCACGTCAAAAGCCATAAATGAGGTGAGGCCTATTTTTAAACCATCATTGCCCTGTTATCAGGCCCCAAGCGTGCATGCATGAATTCTCGCCATGAATTAACAGTGCCCAAATACAAATAACAGCATTGTAAAATTACATATTTGCCGGTGCAATGTTCGAATTTGTTTAAAGACGATGATCAATCACCGAGTGTAATATAACCCCTCCGATATATTGCATTTTATAGCCTGCTTATATCAGTCTATTTTCAGTTTATTTATTTCAGGTTTTTTTTTGTATAGCCCCGTGAGCCATTCGGCTCTTGAATCGGGTGCAACCACAACAAACAAACAAAACAAAAACACGAACAAGAAAAAAACATCTTAAAGTGACTATGTGTGACTGTGCGAACTGAAAATCCTTGACAAAAAAAACACAGCAAAATATTCCTGAAAAAAGCACCGTACACCAACGCTGTGTGCAAAAAAATCCCACAACCACTGATAACAGAGCAATGAACCGCCTTTGTTTGAATCCACTGCTGGATATAAAGCTCTCTCAAGTTGTGGGGATAGCTTGACCACACTTCACCATTGGAACCACACTTCACCACAGGAACCACACTTCACCACAGGAACCACACTACAACACAGGAACCACACTTCACCACAGGAACCTGACTTCACCACAGGAACCACACTTCACCACAGGGACCACACTTCACCACAGGAACCTGACCTCATCATTGGAACCATACTTCACCACAGGAACCTGACTTCACCACAGGAACCATACTTCACCACAGGAACCACACTTCACCACAGGGACCACACTTCACCACAGGAACCACACTTCACCACAGGAACCACACTACACCACAGGAACCACACTTCACCACTGGAACCACACTTCACCACTGGAACCTGACTTCACCACAGGAACTTGACTTCACCTCAGGAACCACACTTCACCACAGGAACCTTACTTCATCTCAGGAACCACACTTCACCACTGGAACCACACTTCACCACAGGAACCTGACTACACCACAGGAACCACACTACACCACAGGAACCACACTTCACCACAGGAACTTGACTTCACCTCAGGAACCACACTTCACCACAGGAACCTGACTTCACCACAGGAACCACACTTCAGCACGCCGGTCAATTAATGTTTGCTGAAGCATTTCTATGTGGTGAAAGTGTACTGGCTAAGTCAGCTCCGCTAACCGTCGCCAGTCCACTATACTGGAATACTACTAAAGTAGTGAGCCTTATTGATTATTATAACCATCGGTTACCATAGCGGTGATGATGACAACAAAGACAAACACTTCATCCGCTCCACATTGAGCAGCATTTACCACAACGAATACACCACCACTCCACAAAACACACACACACACTTGACCGGGTCTTGTCAATCAATTAAACGTGAAGGCAGCTGCAGACTTTGTTGCGATGTGGTAGTACAACTTCGACATCGTCTGCGCCTCGCTCAAAGCGTCGGAATTATTTTTTTAGCGACGCAAAAACGTCGCTAAATATATAAACGCGACGAGACCCAGGGCTAAGACTCGCTCACTCTGGACAGCCGCATTGTAATCTCTCGTCGTGCTTTAATGAGGTTAAACTCCCACTATTACGATGACTGCTAGAGCTTAAACATCTTTACGGCACTGCGCATTTTAACGTAGAAGAGTTATTGTTACGTGTGTGTACAATAAGCAATGTTAGACTTACATAAGACGATAGAATGAATGAAGGCAGCTCTCTCTCTCTCTCTCCCTCCTCCTCCCCCCGCCGCCGCTGTGCTTGGCCGAGTTTGTTTACGCAGGAAGACTGCCTCGGTCATTTGTGTGTCTGCGGATCAGAGGTTTTACCTCCTGATTTCTAGGTTGTTGCCCTCTGTGATCATCATCGTCGTCTTCGTCGTCGTCATCGACAGGCATTCTCTATTCACTGCTGGATGAATCCCTCCTGACGATTATCATCACAGCCATCGCCGCGCACAGGATTCGCGGGGCCATCGGCAAATCCCCCTAAGTGTGGTCATGTAGCGACCAACAATGTAGAGGAATATGTGACAGGTGTACGTTACCATTGATCTGATACGCTAATGTATTGTAACAAAATTCACAAGATGTATGGGGGCCGTCCATAAATGACGTCACGCGCCTAGGGTTGGGGGGAGGGGTCAGACATCTGTGACGAAGTGTGACGTCACATCAAAATTCGCAACTTTAAATAAATATAGTACTTAAATTTTTATTTAAAGCTTTCGTGACTGCATGGATTCATATTCTTGGTTCTTTCGGTAAAGTCACCACGTAGAAGGGAAACAATAAAATAATAATAAAAAAATATAAAACAATAAAATTCACACCTAATGACGACCGTTTGTGTTATGGTCGAAACGTCGTGAGAATTTTTATTGTTTTATATATATTTTATTATTTTATTGTTTCCCTTCAACGTGACTTTACCGAAAGCGCTAAGAATAAGAAAAACCTCTGGTCTGGCATGCCGGGCTCGCCGCGATGGGTGGGACGACGGTGGCGGCGGTTCGAGTCGCAATCTGATGGCGTCACCACCGCGGGCACGCCGCTCGCTGCCGCCGCCGCTGTTGTCGAGGAGTTGTCGGCGTCTCGTGCCCTCCGTCTCGCTCTGAGTTCACTCTCGGTGATTCGCCCCATCGGTGATTGATTCGCCCCATCGGTGATTGATTCGCTCCATCGGTGATTGATTCGCCCCCATCGGTGATTGATTCGCCCCCATCGGTGATTGATTCGCCCCCATCGGTGATTGATTCGCCCCCATCTGTTTTGACTCCCACCCGAGTTGCATTCATCTCGGGCCATCGCTCAACGATCTCTCATCCCCATCGCTTCCGTCAGTCTCTCTCCCACACACGTTCTATTGCCCTGCCACTAGCACCACCACCCCCCTCCCATCATCTCCCACCATCTCTCTCTCTCTCCCCTCGTTCACATCTCCCACCGTCTTTTCCATCTCTCCCGCGTCATCCCTCCTGTGTACGTCTCTCGCCTTTCGCTGCCGTGCCCCGTGTTCATGTTATCAGCACGTTGCAGTTTGCTGATCCTTGGCGCTCGGGATCGTCGCGGCGGAAGATGTCTCGCGCGACCGAGCCCCTGGCGAGGCTCCTTCGGAGCGTGGCTCGGTTCGTACAACAGGTGACGGACCCAAACAAACTCTCCACGCTTGTGCAAGCCACTAAGGTCTCACGGATTAATAAAGTATTAAAGCTTACGTGACTGCATACAATTGCTTGATGTTGCCCCTTTTTGAGCTGCCGTTTTGTATTTACAAGAGGTGGTCCTTTTTTGAGCTGCCGTTTTGTATTTACAAGAGGTGGTCCTTTTTTGAGCTGCCGTTTTGTATTTACAAGAGGTGGTCCTTTTTTGAGCTGCCGTTTTGTATTTACAAGAGGTGGTCCTTTTTTTGAGCTGCTGTTTTGTATGTGTAAGATGTGCGTGTTTGAGCTGCCGCTCTCGCTCTGGCCCCTCCAACCTTATTTACTATTTAAGCTTCTGTTCATCCCTCCGGCACCCCTCACCCCTCTCTCTCTGCCTCCCTGTCCGTCTTTCCTCCCTCCTTACCTCTTGGTGGACTTGTATATGTATTTCTACCGACCGTGTACCTCGTATTTTTCATTATATCTATGCTGGTATGTGCAATCCAAAGGTTGAACACGAAATTTAACACTCTTCTGAAATTCGTGGTCCGCCAGGAAGTGTCTTAACTGTGTTGTTGGCCTGACTGGATGTGCTTCACATAATGTTTTTTTCAGGTTTGTTGAATTCTCGTCTCTCATCTTTTTGTTGTGTTTACCTCCGTGATTTGTTCTTGACACCTGATGACGATCGCTTGCGTTGTGATCGAAACGTCGTGATTGTTTTTTGTTTTGATATAATTTTCTTGTATTTCTACATACGTGACTTTACCGAAAAAACCAATGAGTAGTCTCACGGATTCTCGCGATTCCCTTTGTCCGGGGGAAGTCGCGCCCTGCCAAGTTTGTCTGCTGGATATCTGTGATGAAGAGCTTCGCAGCTCATCAGATTCCTCCAGTCGAAATACATGTTCTGATGTTTTCGCAGTAAGGGGGGAGGGGGGGTGAGGGGGTGGATATCAGCTGTGTATAATCCAAATTGAGTGAATCTGCGGGTATTTTTCTCTCTCTCTATTCCAATTTAGACCAATGACACCGGTGCACCGTGGCCTAATGAAGTGGATGTACAGCGAGGGAACAAAGTATTTGATCCCACTGCTAATTGTGTACGTTTGCCCACTGACAAAGAAATGATCAGTCTATAATTTTAATGGTAGCTTTATTTGAACAGTGAGAGACAGAATAACAACGAAAAAATCCAGAAAAACGCATGTCAAAAATGTTATGAATTGATTTGCATTTTAATGAGGGAAATAAGTATTTGACCCCTCTGCAAAACATGACTTAGTACTTGGTGGCAAAACCCTTGTTGGCAATCACAGAGGTCAGACGTTTCTTGTAGTTGGCCACCAGGTTTGCACACATCTCAGGAGGGATTTTGTCCCTCTCCTCTTTGCAGATCTTCTCCAAGTCATTAAGGTTTCGAGGCTGTTGTTTGGCAACTCGAACCTTCAGCTCCCTCCACAGATTTTCTATGGGATTAAGGTCTGGAGACTGGCTAGGCCACTCCAGGACCTTAATGTGCTTCTTCTTGAGCCACTCCTTTGTTGCCTTGGCCGTGTGTTTTGGGTCATTGTCATGCTGGAATACCCATCCACGACCCATTTTCAATGCCCTGGCTGAGGGAAGGAGGTTCTCACCCAAGATTTGACGGTACATGGCCCCGTCCATCGTCCCTTTGATGCGGTGAAGTTGTCCTGTCCCCTTAGCAGAAAAACACGCCCAAAGCATAATGCTTCCACCTCCATGTTTGACGGTGGGGATGGTGTTCTTGGGGTCATAGGCAGCATTCCTCCTCCTCCAAACACGGCGAGTTGAGTTGATGCCAAAGAGCTCCATTTTGGTCTCATCTGACCACAACACTTTCCCCCAGTTGTCCTCTGAATCATTCAGATGTTCATTGGCAAACTTCAAACGGGCATGTATATGTGCTTTCTTGAGCAGGGGGACCTTGCGGGTGCTGCAGGATTTCAGTCCTTCACGGCGTAGTGTGTTACTAATTGTTTTCTTGGTGACTATGGTCCCAGCTGCCTCCCGTGTAGTTCTGGGCTGATTCCTCACCGTGCTCATGATCATTGCAACTCCACGAGGTGAGATCTTGCATGGAGCCCCAGGCCGAGGGAGATTGACAGTTCTTTTGTGTTTCTTCCATTTGCGAATAATCGCACCAACTGTTGTCACCTTCTCACAAAGCTGCTTGGCAATGGTCTTGTAGCCCATTCCAGCCTTGTGTAGGTCTACAATCTTGTCCCTGACATCCTTGGAGAGCTCTTTGGTCTTGGCCATGGTGGAAAGTTTGGAATCTGATTGATTGATTGCTTCTGTGGACAGGTGACTTTTATACAGGTACCAAGCTGAGATTAGGAGCACTCCCTTTAAGAGTGTGCCCCTAATCTCAGCTCGTTACCTGTATAAAAGACACCTGGGAGCCAGAAATCTTTCTGATTGAGAGGGAGTCAAATACTTATTTCCCTCATTAAAATGCAAATCAATTTATAACATTTTTGACATGCGTTTTTCTGGATTTTTTTGTTATTATTCTGTCACTGTTCAAATAAACCTACCATTAAAATTATAGACTGATCATTTCTTTGTCAGTGGGCAAACGTACAAAATCAGCAGGGGATCACATACTTTTTTCTCTCACTGTATAAGGTCAACCGTGAAGCAGACGGCGCGTCGTATATCGGGGTTAATAAACCCCACAGTATTAATCGGGGCGGCCGCTGGAATCGAACCATGTCGCACACAGAGCCAGGGTGTTCAAGGCAGCGATGTGACTTTACCCAATAGAACCAAAGAGTATGGATCCTAGCAGTCACGAAAGCTTTAAATCTAGAAGCGATGGATTAATTTTTTTGTTTGGGTGTCTGCATCAGGGTGTGTTTAACTTGAGTGTGTGAAGTTAGGCTGGGTTTTTTTTACAGTGATTGGGTCACAATGAGCAGGTTGGGATTAATTGCATTGGGTGCGTGAACTAGGTGTTGGTTTTATTTCATTGGGGCTTTAGAATCAGTGGGTCACTGGGGTATCAGTAGCAGCGAGATTTTAACTTAATTGTCTGTTTTGAGGTTCAGAAAAGTGGATTTAGTGCGCACATTCTGGCTTAGATGTGTATTATTTTTAAGATTTATATTTAGAGGTTTCTAAATATTTTTTTATAGAAATATTTATGTGATGTCTGAAATGTGTTTGTTTAAAATTAATGAGTGGGTTGACCATTTTCATAATCTGTTTTTTTTATGCGAGTGGTGTTGGAAGTAAACCTTTTAATTCTATATGCATTGTTTTATATGAAAAACATAGATCTCTTTAGATCACCCAGAGATGGCATATTGAAATTTAATAATCGTTTGTGGTGGGGTAAAATGAAAGTACACCCACAATTTAGGTGGCTATTCCCTTTGGGAAAAGTAGGCCTTAGATTGCTCTACACAGCAGTGGATAGGTAATGGATAATGCTGGTAAAATAAAAATAAAAAATCTTTCAATAATCCCCACAGCATGGGGACGCCATTATCCACACAAGAGCTGTGTACATGTACACATCAGCAAAACACCAGTTGAAGGTGCACTTTGCGTACGACCGTTGGCGTGACTGGTTGCAGCTAACCTGCCTGTTTTCTCCGCAGCTTGGATTAAGTGAGGATGCGGTGAAGCTCTGCATCAACTATGACAAGCTTGGCAAGGGCTGTGGTCTGGACACGCTGTCCCAAGCTCTGCAAGTGCACATGGCAGCCCTGAATGTTTGTACAGAGAACGCTATGCAGAATACATAACATGCACCGTTTGTAAACACTTGTACAAAGCCAGACACCAAACACAGCTCCAACCGAGCATAACGCGCGTGTGTGGTCAAGGGAGGAGGGGGGGAGTGTGGTTAGCAACTGGCCAATGTGTATGTCAACAAAGGTGTTGTTTAAGCAAGCGGCTTCTGCATCATCTATGTGCAGCTTTTGCAATATCAAAGCAGTATCGTTCTTTGTGCTGTTAAGGTTGAAGTGTGAATACCTGGAAGCTCCCGGTTCGTGAAGTGAAACGTTGGGACATAATGCTGAACAGCCCGAAAACAGCGCCATCAGCACAACTGCATAAAGATACCTCGTCGTCGTTTACCAGTACATTGTGCTAGTTGGAAATTGTTACAGTCTCATTAGCGGATTGGGCAGTGTGTGAACGCAGCAACCGGAGTGAGTGCCTCTGCCTGCTGTCCCTTGTCACACTCAGGAGCTTCAGCAGATGCTGGGAGAGGCAAACCCAGAGCCCATTGACGTTGACAGCCCAGAACCAAAACCCTGTGTGGGCAAACGTCCAGAAGCCTCGCCACCTACCGCTCAGCCCAAGACAGATGACCTTGAGCCTAAACTTGTGCAGATCCAAGCTAGAAAAGCAGAGGTACGTTTCCCCACAATTCACCTATCCCAAACTCTTTATATGAAGGACAAGCTACTAATCCGGGGTGGTGTTTGAAGCTCATAAGGAGTCTTAAACGGCTATGTGGTGTGTATTCTTTTACTTCACTTATCAGCTTATACAGATGTTGGCGGAGGGCCATTTAAGCACTTTACCATTGCTCTGCTGGGTTTAAATGGCCGTCCGCTTTTACACGTGAATCGAATCGCACCCGTGTGTGTTTATGGAGCGCTATCTGTGCGCATTCCTGCTTGTGCGTTTTGTTGGTGTGCTACTTGTAGATTGATAGAAGGATAATGGCCTTTATGGAAAGGAAACAGCTGGAGGTGAATGAAAACAACATCAGGGAGTTCTGTAACGTCATCAACTCAAACCAAGGTCAGTTCTATCTCCTTTAGCTGTATTGTCACACATAAATGTAAAATAATCCATGCCAAGTCTGACATAGTAATTTTTTTTTAGTTTAGGAAACCTGCTACCATGTGTACAAGGATGAGAAACCCTACTTGCTCTACTCAATTCGTTATGTGCTGATTAGGAGGAGTACAGGTAATCATCCATTAACAGGTGTATGTTTCACAATTAAAATTTTATAAACATGACAGGTCCATTAGCCCGTGGGGTAGACATTGCTCCAGATGACCTATTGACTGACAGAATAAAATGTGTGTTGTTTGGTCAAGCGTTACTTATTACTTGCTTTGTTAACTTCCACGGAAACCTCTTTGCCCTGCATGTTTGTTTTTCACTTGTGGTCCATCTCAGCGTGGTCCACTAACCCGTCCTCTGCTGTCTTTCCTGGCATTGGATTTCCACTGCATTTCCACAGACATGGCTGAGCCTGCTCATTCTGGTGATTTTAACCAATCAATATTTTGTTCCCGTTTAGAAAACAGCTGTGCCAGGACAGATGCTGTATTCACACCACGACCTGGAAGCATAAGCCACATTAAAGGTACCTTTACGGACAGCTACATTCAAGGCACACTTATTCTGGCAGCAGCAGCAGCCATGGTCGATTCACTGCTGGATGAAAGCCTCCCCAAGCCATCACGTGATATTCCACACAGTCTTGCGATACCACAATCTATTTCACTGCTGCACAGAAATTGAAGTCTTCACTCTTACCTCTACGGTAATCATCCTGCCACACTGGTTCTGTCTTCCTCTCCTTAACTCCAATTAAGGTGGCCGATATTGCAATGAACATTGTCATACCAACCGTAGGCAAAATCCACAGCCTTGAAGGCGATAACAGAGAAACTGCTTTCCCACTTGTTGCATGCATAACACCGCGTAGAATGTCAACATAACCACGGCTGGTGCAGGTCGTGCTCAGGCGGCGGTCCAAACGTGCGTTTGTGTTTGTTTTTTTTCCCCCTCCGCTCCAGTGTCGCGCGTCGTGAACACGTACGGCCCCCAGACGCAGCAGGAGGTGGCGCAGTCCGGCCGAGTGAGGGGTGGCAACGCCTCGGAGGATTGTGGGAACTCGGCCGTGGAGGAGCGCCTCCAGAACCTCGAGGAGCACCTACGTCTCCGGCATGGTGCGTGCATTGGGTGTTTGTGCCGTTCACAACGCGTGAGGCTATCGGGGTTCACAGACGAGATTAGCCTGCCAGTAAGGGGACAATTTCGCCGTGTAGTTTTTTCCCCATGTAAGTAATGTGTGGGTAAATTTTCACATTTGACAGTCAACATTACGTGTAATGCTCATACTGCTACTTATGGAGTCAAGTAGCACAGAGGGTTGCACTTGTGTAAAGTGGTAATTGGCCGTTTATGTTCGTAAAATAATTTAGTTAGTTCACTGATTGGATGACCTGATAATATTTGGAGGAAGGACGTTGTTTACTCTTAAACCCAACTGTTTAATAACCAAGAGTAGGCTACGTTTTTTTAGAATCACACAAACAGAATCCTAGACAGAGACTTGTTGGAAATTGTACTGGTTTGCTGTCGACTAGACTCACCCTGTGACTAGAACAACAACAACAACAATACCGACTAAATAAATTCTGGTGAAGAGGTATCACTTGATGTTGATTAGTGGTGTGGTGGCACAGCAGCCTGTATGTTGCCAATGGTTGTTCTTCCTGTGTATCCAGGCGGTCCGGTGCCAGGTAGCGTGTATGCACGTCTGAAGGAGCTGGAGAATCGTGTTCTCCAGCTGGAGGGCTCTTCCCCCGAGTACTTTGAGTCAATAGTGAGTACCAGTTTATTGTTCTCTCAAACTGCAAGCTCAAGACCTCTTCCCTCTTTTATTTCCTCGGCCTATCACCGAATGTGGCTCCCCCTCGCCACAACAGAAATACGTCCACTCTTTCTGCACAGCGTCTTTAGATGCGGTCTCATTTACATGCCGGCTAAATCCGAATTGCGTTGTAAAATCGGTGACTTTCAACATTTATGCATTACGCAACACGTTTATGTTTAGTACTAAGTGAATGCAATTTTCGAATATTTTGCTCTCAAGATGTGGTTGACTATCTGTGATATTGTCCATTTTTTTTTTATCCAGACTCAGCTTTTATTTTTCATGCATTTATTTTAAAGCATCCATTGGATGCATTCATATTTGTTGTTGAAAATTTCGATTGCGTACTAAGTGTCAAGATTATATCACAAAAGATTGTATTTAACTTAATTGAGCGATTGTTTTATCGCAGAATTCATTGAAAAAACGGAAGAAAGTTCACGATTTATCGCAAGTAAGTACTGACAGTGATGCTAGAAGTGATTAAAAATAAATAAAAATATTGAGTACAAAGGAAGTACATGGGATTTAAATTACTTATATTAAATGTATAAGAGTTGGGTTTTAATTTGATGTTGCTTTACTTTCAACTGGCCAAGAGCCCATTGATGTAACAAGCACTAATTATAAAAGCTCATCACCTTTTTTTTACTCGAAGTGTCTGACAAAATAAATAATTTTGTACATTTATGGTTACGCTTTTTGTTTTTACAACAAGGCAATTATCATTGCAGAAGTGGTGAAATTTTGCTTGTGTTAAAGTGCACCATCCTATCGGTCATTCAGTGTTTCTTTGAGACATATTTATAACAAGGAAAGTGAAATAGTAAATGTTTAATGGCATGCATACAATGCGATCAATGTCAACCGTAGACATTCGACTGTAACGCAATAATTAACATTTTAAACATGATCCATGCGTTATTTTAAAATGTGTTCAAAACATTTTTAAATGGCCGTTGTAAATACTTTATTTTTATAGTCTGAGAGCTCGTTCTTCATTAGAACAGCGGCATGGATTTTTTTTTAATTTAAGTTATATTGGTTTAAGTGAATGCTATTTTTGAATTTCATATAATATTAAATATATTTACTATCTTCATAATAATGAGTTAAATGATGACGTCACCCTGCTGCTCTATTTAAGACCGGGAGCAGGTGAGGGCTTTACCATTCTGGCGAATTGCCCGATGATGCTGGATGTAATTACCAGCGAAACGTCGTACTCAAACTGTAAATGTTGTGGATTCACTCTTCAACACACCAGTGGGCTAAAGTAGTGAATTATTTGTCTTTTGTCAATGTGACACTTTTTTTGCTGATTGGCCGTGTCGGGTGGTGGAGGGTTACGACACATTTATAAATAACGCGATCCAACCCAAAAACCTTTATTATGAATAATATTGGTCGCGAAAGCCTAGGTGTTGAACATATTTACTATCTCTTATTAATAATATATATTATCCCAAAGTCTCTTATGAGTCCTAATTTACATTTTTAACATAGAGTTCTTCCACGCATGTCATGAGCAGTGTCATCTTGAGAATGTGTGCTGTACGTAAGCTATGTGTAAGATTGTTTTTGTTTGCTTTTGGCTCTTTTACCCCACCCAACAGAAATATACTCTCTCCGATCTGGATGCCAAAATCAACGTGCTTAGGGCAATGCTGCTGAAGAAGAGTACCGATGCACCGGCACAGACCATGGACGTTGATCCATCCAACCACGTCCCTTAGTATCACACTCCGTACGCTCATCGTTGTGCAATGTTCTTAGACTGCTGATCATTTACAATCTTTATTCATATCCGACAGGGCTTAATTATTGTTCGCAGTTGTTATTATTACTCTGAGCAAAAAAAAAAATAGCAGTGTTTTAACATTACAGGCTGTCAAGAGTATTGTGATGTTGGTGTGCAGCTATTAAGCAGGCGCGGAGCCAGGGTTTCAGGCTTGGGTGACATTCAACAAATGTTAATTTCAAGAATGATTAGAGAGTCAGGCTGTTGAACTAGACGCCATCGGTTGGCGACACACTCTGACAATGCAGTTGCACGGAGTCCGCCAGACCGAGTGTCGTACACTTATACGCAGAATGTTTCAGATTTTCGATTTTTTTATTTTTTTGGGGGGTGACAATTGTCTACCCTGTCACCCCCCTGGCTCCGCCCCTGCTATTAAGGACCGGCTTACGCACGCGGGAGTGCTGTGCTTTTGCACGCCCAAGGCTGCTTTTGTCTCCCCATGGCTAATATGCAACATGCCAGGTAATCATTTAAGGCTGAGTTGACCAAGGGGGGCCCAGGGTACCTTCGGGTTTTTTTTCTTGCCAGTGATGATAAAATACATAATTCTTTATGAGAAAAATATGTTCGCAGAAAATTATTTCAGCATATTTCTACACACAGGGACCTGTCAGGCTGGACACTCATTGATCTATTTGGCTAGTTGGATGTGTTGTACTGGAGACCTTTGTGCCATGCCTCTATCTCACGCTGTACACAATTAACAATCGCATAATTTCAATATATAATTTAGCAGCGGTGGCCTTGTCGCCTGACCCAACAGAAGCCACACACCAATATCTTCATATGACCGAGAGCCAGAACCATGAATGGCGACATGTTAACTACCTTGCCTACGTGTCCTCCGGGTTTTTCCCCTCTACATGAATAAACATGCGTTTAGAGTATTTGGCTGCAATACATTTCCACGCAATAAGCCACTTAATTGGAGCTATCATGTTTGTGGTTTGAGTGGCCGTCACGTGGCCGGTTTCTTCGTGCTGGTTGGCCGTGAAGCTTGGAATGTTCTAGGTCTGCATGAGTGCCCTGGGAGTACTCGCGTCTGAATCTGCTGCCAGTGGTGAGTGCCCCAAGCTGTCCATGCGCCTGCAGCTGTTTGTTGTTCCGTATGAAGTTGTATCGACAATTTACAAATCAGGTCTCTGTGCAGCCACACTTGGGAGTGTGTCCAGGAGGAGCACGCGGCTCATGAGCTGCGGTTTGGCCACCCCGAGTCTCCAGCTCGTTTCTAGAGCTCCTTGGGTGACAATCCGATGTTTATCGATTATCTGCACAGACGCTCAATAGGTATCCAAAACCATAGAAATATTGAATTACTGCTCCTTTGATTTGTGATTATTGTATGTAGTTGTTGATAAATATACTTTTGACACCTTTTCCTGTAATCTGCCATGATGTTGAGCATAATGGCAGGGTTGGCTATGTACGGTGTGAAATACGTTCAACATACATGTTTGCCCATCTATTTAGACCGTTATATGAATCGCCTGTTTATGTAAGATTATGCTGTGTAAGTATATTTAAACTGTATGAATGATAAGCTGGATTCACTTAATGTGTGCGTGGCATTAAGGTGGAATGTTGCCTCGTGTAGTTTTAGATTCTGGCTTACATGCATTACGTGGCATGTGTAAGAATTAATGTCTTTCATGTGTGTATATGAGTTCACATCACCATTGCTCTTGCTAGGTGCAGCAATATCTACTATGGTAGCAAAAAAACTGCTTAATCTGAATCACAACACTGAAATAAAAATGAGGGTTAATCATTCCTACCGCTAATGTGCATATGTCAACTTTCTATCCATACAGTGTTTTTATCTACAAACATTCCAAGTCTGGTACTTTTGAGTAGTTTATATATTCTGTACAAGTGTTTGTCTATTTTTTCAATAAATGTGTCAAATGTTAAGTCGGTGAAAGTGTCTCTGGTGTGGACCAATCAGTTTCAAAGACAATGCATATATCAGTGTTTTTGGTTTGCACTCTGACCACAAGTATTGTGGTTAATGCAGACACGATTCCTTGGTGCTTTAACATCTTAACACCTGTTTTGTTGCCATAAAAAAGAGGAAAACCTATTCTCATGTGAAATCGATGTTTTGTCTATTTTGTAGTTCCTCAAAGAAGTACCATAAATATAAGTATTTTAATTGAAAGTATAAAAGCATTGCTTGAACTATAGTCAAGAGAACTTTAGCCAGGCGGCATTTTGGTGAGTGTGCCTGTTTCGGTCAGAAGGCTATTGGGTCCAAATTCCGGCAGGAGGACGACTCGGCCAATCATCCTTCTGGGGTCAATAAAACGAGTGCCACTTTCTGGCAAGCCAAATTGTCGCTTGTCGAGTAGGCCTCGGGAATGGGGAATTTCCACCGCTCGGCTGCTCAAGGAGAGGGAACACCACCCATTTGCCCTGTTGATCATTGATGCACTTTCAATTGGGGTGTTTGTTTATGAGGAAACGGTATCCTTGAAATTCATCGCATGAATAAATTAAACTTGTATTTTCCAGATAAAGCCCACTGAGCTATTATCTTTTTTTTAGAGGCAACCTGGCCAGAAATGATAGCTCATCGAAGCGGAGTATATATGATGCGAAAAGTTATAGTTATGAAATAAACTAAACGTGTCTCTTAATGTGGAGGGCAAAATCAGAGGGCCTGGAGAAAAATCCACGGGACCACCACGGGGAGAAAGAACCTGTGAACTTGGCATAAACAGAGATCGTCGGGGTCAGGATCGAACCTACAACCTCCTGCGTACCAGGCAATAGAGATAACATTTCGCCCCCCCCCCATCCCCCCCGGATGCGCGTAAATTGTTGCGGTTCATAACTGAGATGGCATGAAGATCGTAGTGCCGAACCTCCTGGCTTTGCACTATCCCTGCAGCAGTGGGTGATCACAAACCGCACCAGGGCATCCCACGGGCAATGTGGAACACGTGTGATGCACGAGTGGCGATGACTACGAGATGATCGGCGCTGCAGCTACAGTGAAGGAAAAAAAGTATTTGATCCCCTGCTGATTTCGTACGTTTTCCCACTGACAAAGAAATGATCAGCCTATAATTTTAATGGTAGGTTTATTTGAGCAGTGAGAGACAGAATAACAACAAGAAAATCCAGAAAAACGCATGTCAAAAATGTTATAAATTGATTTGCATTTTAATGAGAGAAATAAGTATTTGACCCCCTCTCAATCAGAAAAATTTCTGGCTCCCAGGTGTCTTTTATACAGGTAACGAGCTGAGATTAGGAGCACACTCTTAAAGGGAGTGCTCCTAATCTCAGCTTGTTACCTGTATAAAAAACACCTGTCCACAGAAGCAATCAATCAATCAGATTCCAAACTCTCCACCATGGCCAAGACCAAAGAGCTCTCCAAGGATGTCAGGGACAAGATTGTAGACCTACACAAGGCTGGAATGGGCTACAAGACCATTGCCAAGCAGCTTGGTGAGAAGGTGACAACAGTTGGTGCGATTATTCGCAAATGGAAGAAACACAAAAGAACTGTCAATCTCTCTCGGCCTGTGGCTCCATGCAAGATCTCACCTCGTGGAGTTGCAATGATCGTGAGAACGGTGAGGAATTAGCCCAGAACTACACGGGAGGCAGCTGGGACCATAGTCACCAAGAAAACAATTAGTAACACACTACGCTGTGAATGATTGAAATCCGGCAGCACCCACTAGGTCCCCCTGCTCAAGAAAGCACATATACATGCCCGTCTGAAGTTTGCCAATGAACATCTGAATGATTCAGAGGACAACTGGGTGAAAGTGTTGTGGTCAGATGAGACCAAAATGGAGCTCTTTGGCATCAACTCAACTCGCCGTGTTTGGAGGAGGAATACTGCCTATGACCCCAAGAACATCATCCCCACCGTCAAACATGTAGGTGTAAACATTATGCTTTGGGGGTGTTTTTTCTGCTAAGGGGACAGGACAACTTCACCGCATCAAAGGGATGATGGACGGGACCATGTACCGTCAAATCTTGGGTGAGAACCTCCTTCCCTCAGCCAGGGCATTGAAAATGGGTCGTGGATGGGTATTCCAGCATGACAATGACCCAAAACACACGGCCAAGGCAACAAAGGAGTGGCTCAAGAAGAAGCACATTAAGGTCCTGGAGTGGCCTAGCCAGTCTCCAGACCTTAATCCCATAGAAAATCTCTGGAGGGAGCTGAAGGTTCGAGTTTCCAAACGTCAGCCTCGAAACCTTAATGACTTGGAGAAGATCTGCAAAGAGGAGTGGGACAAAATCCCTCCTGAGATGTGTGCAAACCTGGTGGCCAACTACAAGAAACGTCTGACCTCTGTGATTGCCACCAAGTACTAAGTCATGTTTTGCAGAGGGGTCAAATACTTATTTCCCTCATTAAAATGCAAATCAATTTATAACATTTTTGACATGCGTTTTTCTGGATTTTTTGTTGTTGTTATTCTGTCTCTCACTGTTCAAATAAACCTACCATTAAAATTATAGACTGATCATTTCTTTGTCAGTGGGCAAACGTACACAATTAGCAGGGGGATCAAATACTTTTTTCCCTCACTGTACGCAGGCGGACTTCACGCGACGGGACGAAGCGTGAAAAGTCGCCCCTTAGAGCCACTCGTCGGCAGGATGACGACATTTCATTCTGCGTCAGATGATGTTCTTGACTGGATATCAAACCTCGCTCTCGCATTGTACACGTGGATATTTCCACACGACAGAAGAAGACTACAAAAAAAAACCACGCAAGTGACAGATATTATTAGCTGAAATATCCCGATGCACATTAGGTGAAAAAATTTAATATACTGAATTGGCATCACACGGAGCACAATCGCCCCTTCTGCAAAAAACTAGGCAGAATCCTCATTAAAAATATATTTTTCGATTTAAAGCTTTCATGAGGACAGACAGTCTCGTTCCTTCACCTGATGAAGGCCGCTTGTGTTGTGGCCGAAACGTCGTGAGAATTTTATTGTGTTTATTTTTTTCAATTTATTATTTTATTCTCATTCTACGTGAGTTTACCGAAAGAACCAAAGAAGAAAAAATATATTCTTGAGACTCAGCGTGACATTCCTGGATTGACGAGCAGAGTAACAAGAACAAAAACCTGCAAATTTCGATTTAAAGCTTCCGTGACTGCAGGGATTCATATTCTTGGTTCTTTCGGTCAAGTCACGTAGAAGGGAAATAATAAAAATAAAAGATAATAAAATCCTCACGACGTTTCGGCCACAACGCAAGCAGCCGTCCTCAGGTGAAGAAACAGAGCTGTGGGGACGCTGTCTTTCCGACAGTTCTTCACCTGAGGACGGCTGCTTGCGTTGTGGCCGAAACGTCGTGAGAATTGTATTTTATGATGTTTTATTTTTTTATAATTTTATTACATCCCTTCTACGTGACATTACCGAAAGAACCAAGAAACTAAAACCTGCAATATGTTAAAAAATTACATTCGCACGATCCGATCGTGGCAAAGCGGCCACGCACGGCGCGACATAAGTTCAACATGCCTACAGTACGTCGAGACGCTCCTAGTGGGGGGTAGGGTGGGAATATCAGATTTTAATAGCGTGGATTTCTTTTCTCTTAGTTTGCTCGGTTCGTCAAGTGGCTGCGGTCTTCCCACCAAAGCACTCGAGCACCCCCCCCCCCCCCCCCCCCGAGACGTACATGAGGTCATAGAGAGAATTCAGGGGCCACTTCAGTGCCCAACCCCCTCCCTGGCCCCAGCACCAAAGTTGTGGGAGAAAAATGCATCAAAGCGGCTTGGCTGCTTGAATCCTAACAGCCTCCGCCTCGCCGCCGCAGCAGCAGCAGTCAAATCTCTGTTTGTTTAAAGCTGGATTACAGGCAAGCATTTAAAAGCCATCGAGCTGTCCCTGCAGAAGTAGGCGCTGCATTGGCATTGTTTGGACAATAAGGTTACGGCGGTCATGAATCATGACTAGCGGGGGGGTGGGCCAGTGGGAAATCTGCGGAAGTGTTTAGCTTAACAGCAACAACAACGATGATACGTCCATGTTTGGGGAGTGGATACGAGTGTCGAGAGATGGTAATGGTTGACACACTCGACTTGCAATGTACAGGGCCACCGGTTGGGTTCGATCTCCAAGGCACGGCAGTTGAAATAATGGGCATTTAAAAAATATATAGTTTTGCATAAAATTGCCACGTTATAAGCCACTTTGTTGAGCTATCATTTGTGGCCAGGTCACCTCTGAAAATGTAGTCAATACCTCAGCAGGCTTTACCTGGTAAGATCAAACTAATTGTTCAGTTTTATTTTTGTTTTGTAGTGATTTGTTTGTCTTTCCCATACTTTTGCGCTCCTATCGCGTTTGTTGTATCGTCTGTTGTTGTAACGTTCTGCACCGCCCCGACTCGACACTTGTGAAAGGAGCTTTATAGCTCATCGGATTGTATAAATAAATATCCTATATGCATGTTGAACTTCTTTCGCACCGTACGTAGCCAACCGTGCCTCTGCTCACCCAAGCGTAATGTTTATATATAAACCAGTAAGTAGATCGACAGGTCGTTCGGGGTGGAGTCAAATCTGGGTACTTGATCCCAACTGTTCAAAGGCATTTGGCTCACGTGGAATAAGAGAGGGGGGGGGGGGAAAAAAATACAACCTTGAGAGAGGGAGCGTCTCTAAACCTCCCACTCGTGCGGGGCCCTTCTGCCAGCCACATTGGCACGAGCCGAGCCATTGAACGCCGACGCCTTTACCTTTTCACGAGTGTAACAGTGAATGTTCTATTGCGACGTAGGAATGTGTAACTACCACTCCTGGCTCTGAGTCACTAATGGAGGTGAGCACAATCCAATGCCCGTTTGATCACGGAGATGCTTTGCAAGTGAGCAGGTCAATTCCATTGCAATCTTTAGTTCAAGCAAGC